GCAATTGTTTCAGGTACGTTACAGTCCGGAGCCGCGAATCTCGCGAGCGCGACAGTATCCGGAACGCTCGGAGTGACTGGAGCGACGACCTTAGCGGTTGTGCAGACCGGAGCCGCGACCCTCGCGAGCGCGATTGTCACGGGTTCGTTACAGTCTGGAGCAGCGACCCTCGCGAGCGCGTCGGTGAATGGTGCTTTAACAGTGACGGGTTTGACTTCCATGGCGACTGCGACTGTGTCGAGCACACTCGACGTCACGGGCGTGACCACACTCAAAGAGGACGTGTCCATGACGAAGGCCGCCGCCACTATCTCACACACGGGGACCTCGCTCACGATCTCAAGCACGGGCTTCGTTGAGGTGGAGAGCGTGAAGTTTACGGGAGCCACCATTGGCATCGGATTGACGGCTGACGTCATCGCTCTCGCCACCACGGGCGCGAGAGTGACTGGGAAGCTCGAAGTGGGGACGACAGGGGCACGGAACTTCGTCGTGACGAAAGACGGCGATACCACAGTCTCCGGGACGCTTGGAGTGACCGGGGCGACGACCTTGGCGGGTGTGCAGACCGGAGCCGCGACCCTCGCGAGCGCGATTGTCACGGGGACGTTACAGTCAGGAGCCGCTACTCTCGCGAGCGCGACGGTGAATGGTTTAACTTCCATGGCGACGGCGACTGTATCGAGCACACTCGCCGTCACGGGCGTGACCACACTCAAAGAAGACGTGTCCATGACGAAGCCCATCGCTGAGATCTCGCACTCGGGGACCTCGCTCACGATCAAGAGCTCGGGCTTCGTGGACGTCGAGAACGTGCGGTTCACGGGCGCCGACATCGGCATCAACGGCGTTAATGACCTCATCAAACTCGCGAATACCGGCGTAAGCATAGTCACAAACGGGAAGTTCGACGTGGGGCCCACATCGGCATCGCGCAAGTTCACCGTGATCGCGAGCTCCGGCGATACGTCTATCTCAGGAACGCTCGGGGTGACAGGTTTGTCGGCGTTATCCGACGCAACTGTGTCGGGCACGCTCGGGGTCTCTGGAGCGACCGCAATGTCTAGCGCATCGTTATCGAGCACTCTCACGGTGAACGGGTTGGCGACGCTTAAAGACGGTTTGACGCTCGAGAAGGACACGACGTCGATGTTACACACGGGCAACACTGGGCTTCAGATTTCGAGCACGACGGGGTTCGTGGAGGTGGAGAGCGTTCGATTTACGAACTTGCAACTCGGTGTCGGTGCGACGCCAATCATCACACTGTCAACCTCGGGCATCGGCGTGAGCGTGACAGGAACGTTACAGACATCTGGGTTATCAACTTTGGCCTCCTTGAAGGTAGATGGAACGACGAACTTGGCTGGTGCCACGGTGACGGGGACGACTGGCATGGCGGTCGCGACGGTTTCGAGCACACTCGCCGTCACGGGCGTGACCACACTCAAAGAAGACGTGTCCATGACGAAGTCAACTGCCGCAATCACGCACTCGGGAACGTCGCTCACGATCTCGAGCTCGGGCTTCGTGGACGTCGAGAACGTGCGGTTCACGGGCGCTAACATCGGCGTCAACGGCGCGCCGAACCCTCTCATCGCGCTCGCATCCGCGGGAGTGACCGTCACCGGTACGCTCGGAGTCAGCGCGGCGGCAAATATCGGGAGCGCGGTGGTTTCCACCACGCTTCAGGTGAACGGACTCGCGACTCTCGCGAGCGCCACCGTGAATGGCGCGACGTCGCTCTCGACCGCGACGTTGTCCTCGACGCTCACGGTGGACGGGTTGGCGACGTTGAAAGACAGTTTGACGCTCGAGAAGGACACGACGGCGCTGACGCACACGGGCAACACCGGGCTTCAGATTTCGAGCACGAACGGTTACGTCCAAGTGCAAAGCGTGAAGTTCACGGGAGCCACCATCGGCATCGGCACGAGAGTGAACGTCATCGCTCTCGCCACCACGGGTGCAAGCGTGACTGGGACGTTGCAGACATCCGGATTGGCGACTCTCCATAGCGCAACGGTTACCAACGCGCTTCAGGTGAACGGTCTATCGACTTTAGCGAGCGCGACGGTGACTGGCGCGACTTCAATGGCGACCGCGACTGTGTCGAGCACACTCGACGTCACGGGCGTGACTACACTCAGAGAGGACGTGGCCATGACGAAGCCCATCGCTGAGATCTCGCACACGGGGACCTCGCTCGCGATCACGAGCACGGGCTACGTGGAGGTGGAGAGCATGCGTTTCGCGGGCCCTATCATCGGCCTCGGGGCGGCAAACAAAATCACGCTGACCGCATCAGGCGCGACAGTGTCTGGGACGTTTGGAGTGAGTGCTTTGGCGTCCTTGGCATCCGCGACTTTGTCCAGCACACTTGTCGTCTCTGGCGTGGCAACATTCGGTGAGGACGTGGCGTTGAACAAAGGAGTCGCCGCCATTTCACACACCGGGACGTCGCTCACGATTTCAAGTAACGGTTTTGTGGCAGTGCAAAGCGTGCAGTTCTCGGGGGGCAACATGGGCGTCCAGGGGGCCGCAAATATCATAGCGCTGTCCAATGCAGGCGGGGTGAGACGCGCGAGCGTGACCGGGAAGCTGTCATCGACGAGCGACTTCGAGGTCGGCGCTTCCAAGTTCACCGTCGCCGGCGGCACCGGCAACACGGTGATCAGCGGGACGCTTGCATCGGGCGCTACCACCGTGACCGGGGCGCTGTCGTCGACGGGCAACTTTGAAGTCGGGGCGACGGGCGCGCGCAAGTTCACCGTCGCCGCCGGTAATGGTGACACGGTGGTCAGCGGGACGCTGAATTCCGGTGCCGCGACGCTCGCGAGCGCGATAGTGACGGGGACGTTACAATCCGGAGCAGCGACGCTCGCGAGCGCGACTGTGAATGGCGCTTTATCGGCGACGGGCAACCTCGACGTGGGCGCAGCAATCGCGCGCAAGTTCACCGTAGCGGCCGGCACCGGAGACACTGATATTTCGGGCACTCTAGGCGTGACCGGCGCGACAAAACTGACGAGCGCGGCGTTGTCCACGACGCTCACGGTGGATGGCTTGACGACGATCAAAAACGGTCTGACGCTCGAAATGCCGACGACCCTCGTCACGCACACGGGTTCGGGCGGCGGGGCGGCGTTGAAGATCTCGAGCACGAACGCGTACGTGGAAGTTGAGACCGTGCAGTTCGCCGGCTCGAGCATCGGCGTGAGCGGCGCCCCGTCGCTCATGGCACTCTCTTCCTCGGGCGTCGGCATCACGGGGGCCTTACAGGTCAGCACGACGGCGACGTTGGCAAACGCGGTGGTTTCAAACGCGCTCACCGTGAATGGGGCGTCGATCTTTAAAGACGTGACCGTGAGTGGCAATTTCAATCTCGTGAGCGCGCAGATGTCTACCACGCTCGGCGTATCTGGCGTGACCACGCTCAGTGATAACATGATCATGACGAAGCCCACTGCCGCGATCACGCACTCGGGAACGTCGCTCACGATCTCGAGCTCGGGCTTCGTGGACGTCGAAGACGTGCGGTTCACCGGTCCGATCATCGGCTTCGGCGCGTCGAACGTCATCACACTCGCTGCGGGGAGCGCGACCGTGACAGGTTCGATCACGGTCACCGGGTCGGCTAGTATGCAAACCACTCTCACGGTCGGCGGGTTGTCCAACCTCGCGGCGGCGGCGTTATCGGGGACGCTCTCGGTGACCGGGGCGACGACGCTTAAAAATGACGTCACGCTCGAGAAGGACTTGACGGCGCTGACGCACACGGGCACGACCGGGCTGAAGATCACGAGCAACCGCTACGTCGAGGTCGAGTCCGTCAAGTTCACCGGTTCGAACATTGGCATCGGCACGACAGTGAACGTCATCGCGCTCGCGACCACGGGCGTGAGCGTGACCGGGACGTTGCAGACATCTGGATTGGCGACTCTCCATAGCGCGACGGTCACGAACCAGGCCTCTCTCGGAAGCGCGGTGGTTTCCACCACGCTTCAGGTGAACGGACTCGCTACGCTCGCGAGCGCGACCGTGAATGGCGCGACGTCGCTCTCGACTGCGACGTTGTCCTCGACGCTCACGGTGAACGGGTTGGCGACGTTGAAAGACGCGATCGTCATGGACAAGGACACCGCGCTTTTAACGCACACCGGGACCACGGGTTTGAAAATTACGTCGACGAACATCAACGCGTACGTCGAAGTCGAGGCGCTGAGGTTCAAGGAACTGACGATCGGCGTCGGCGCGACGTCTATCATCGCCCTCGCGACCACGGGAGCGAGCGTGACGGGGACGTTGCAGACGTCTGGATTGGCGACGCTCGCGAGCGCGACGGTGACGACGACTATGGGCGTCGGCGGGGACTTCAACGTCAACGGGAACTTCCAAGTGACGGCTTCTAGCGGGAACACGGTCGTCTCCGGTCTCCTCGCCGTCTCCGGCGCGCACTCTGACAGCTCGAAGGAGCTGTACGTGAACGGCGACATCTTCGCGACGGGGACGTCAACGTCCGCGTCGGACTCGCGGTTCAAACGGGACGTGAACATCATCGACGGCGTATTAGGTTTGATCCGCGACGTTCGACCGGTGACGTTTAACTTCAAGACCGAGGAGTACCCGGAGAAGAGATTCCCGGAGAGCACGCAGGTTGGTTTCCTCGCGCAGGAGCTCGAAGAATCGCTCCCGCTTCTCGTGTCCACGGACGACGTCGGGTTCAAAGGCGTCGCGTACGAACGCGCCGGGGTGTACGCCCTCGCGGGGGTGAAAGAGCTCGACGCCGCCGTCCGCGCGCAAGCGACGCGAATCGAGACGCTCGAGGCGGAGGCGCGAGAGAGGGCTGAGGCGCACGAGAGCATCGTCGCCGAGCTCGAGGCGAAACTCGCGAAGGTGATCGGGACGGTGCAGGAGCTCGCGAAGAGAGTCGAAGAGTGATAGACTGAACCTTTTTAATCCAACGAGAATCTCAGTCTAGTCTATGTTTCCACTCCGCGTCACCGCGCGGGCGCCCCCCCCAAGACCGCCTCCGGCAGCCTCTCTATGCTGTACTTGTGCTGCTGCAAGTACATGATCGGCACCCCGGGAATCTTCCGTATCCGTCGTTTCAAATCCGTGTCGCACGTCGCGACGATGTAACACTTGTGCTGCCTGACGCGTTCGCAGATGCAATCGTCCGCGTACGTCCCCGGGTGCGTGCACGGCAGCCGCGTGAACCTCGGGTCTTTCGCGACCCTCAGCGCGACCCTGTACTTTTGCCCGAGCTTCTCGAGCTCCGCCATGACGCAGTCCGTGATGTGAGGGACGCACTGCGCGTACAGGCAGTCCATCATCCCTTTCACGAGGTCGATCTTGTTTTTAATCGAAAAGTTTATAAAGTTCGTGTCCACGATGACGTTGTACGGCGGCCCGAGCGCGGAGTTGTGCTTGAAGAACAGCGCGGAGGACGTCGCCTCGACGTGCTTGATCTTCGGCTCGTCGGTGCGTTTCTTTTTCTTCTTCCCATCCTTCTTATCCCTGCGAGAAGAGCGTCCGCGGTGAGCATTCTGTCGGGTTCTGTTCGTTTCGATGTCGGGTTTTCGGTGTCGGCGTGGACGACGGAACGCGCGCGGGGGAAGGTAAGACGTCGGGCAGGGACGCACACTCTCGCTTCTTTCGGGTTTAGGATCCGCTTCACCTCCGCGAACTTCTTCGCCTTCGCCTTGTTCTTCCCCATCACCCGCTGGAGTCCAGACGTCGGGACCCTGTCGTCAATTGACTTTCGCACCCACGACGAGCGCCGACGACGATTCCCTCGCTCGCGCGCTCGATCTCGAGAGCGGGGTCGCGCGAACCCGCGTAGTCTTCACGCGGTAGTCACGCCGCGATTGCGGCGCGTCGACGCGAACGGGGTTCACGGGCCACGCGAACGGCGCGCGAGGTTGTTTGTGAGGTTGTGGCACGGCGGCGGCTCTGTGACTTGAGCGCCAAAAAGTTGTTGACGACGCGATCGCGACGACTATGAGACTCACTGTGAGCAGCCCGCGACCGCGAACACGCGCACACCGCCGCGGCGCGCGGCATGGACCGCGACGGCGACGACGCCGCGCGCTTCGCTTGCCTCGCGTCCACGGCCGTGTCCGGACACGAACGCCTGAAACTCCTCGAGCGCGGCGTCGCGGGTCGAGGCCTCGCGGTGTTGTCCGGTGCCGACGAGTCCGAAGACGCGCACGTCGCGAAGATCTCCCCGTCGTCGACGCTGTGGACGCGGATGTACGATGACGATTACGTGAACGAGACCGTCCCGGGATGGGACGTCCGCCTCGCGGTGATGCTCCTGCGCGCCATCGCCGGGAACGACGAGAGCGCGACCTTCGACTGGCGCGCGTATCGCGCGTTCCTCCCTCGTCTGGACGAGCTCACGCACCTCGGATGCTTCGACGACGCGGAGGCGTCCGTGCTGTCCCCATGGTTCGCGGAGGAGCGAAATCAAATACGACGAGCGTGGGACGACGCGTACGCGACCGCGATGGCGTCGCGCGCGCTGCCGCCGGGGACAACAGGCGAGGAGTTTCGGTGGGCGGCCGCGATCGCGAGGACGCGCGCGTTTCGTCTGCCGCCGCCGCCGCCGTCGTCGTCGTCGCGGATCGTCGACGCGGACGTGGCCGTCCTCGTGCCGATTCTGGACATGGCGAACCACGCGTCGGACGGGTCCGAGACCGTCCGGTGGACGGAGGCGACGAACGGAGAGGAGCCCGCGATCGCGCTCTTCCCGACGCGTCGCGGCGGCGCGGACGCGGACGCCGCGAACGCGCCGCCGTCGCCGCCGCGGTGGCGCGAGGTTTGCCTGTCGTACCTCCCCAAGGGCTCGAACGAAGACCTGTTCCGCGCGTTCGGCTTCGTCGAGCGAGGGAACCCGCACGACGCGCTGCCGATTTGGGTCGAGTGCGCGTGCGAGCGGGAGGTCGGCCGCACGCGCGCTGCCCCCCGCGGCCGCGCGCGACCGCGCCGCGTCACGCTTCTCGCCGCAGCGGGTCTGAAGCAGAACAAGCGCACCGGCGCGCTGCGTTTCGCGGACGTGAACGACGCGGACGATCTCGGGGAGGAAAGGGCGGAGCGTCGCGTAGCCGCGACGCGCGCGCTCCTGGCGTTCTCGACGCGGGGCAGCGTTCCCGAGCGCGAGCGTCAGGGCGTCGGCGGGCGAACGCTTCGCCGCGTGCTCGAAGACGCGCTCGACATTGCGCTCCAAAACGAAAACGAGTTCGACCGCGCGTATTTCGAAGACGCGACCGTAGCGGACATGCGCGTGGTGCACAGCGATCGCGTGCACGCGGCTCGCGCGCATCTCCGCGAACAGACGCTCTTGATCGCCGCCGCCGTCGACGTGCTGCACTTGTACAAGGACCACGAGCGCGCGTCCGCGGCGGCGCCCGGAAGATAGCCGCGGAGGCGTTCTTAGTCTAGTCTGTAGTCGGGTCGCGTCGAGAACTCCGCGATGCGCGCTCTGCGATGTGTAGATGTAGGTGTTAGTAAATACAGTAGGGATATCTAGTAGCAACACGTCGCGCGCGCGGTCATCGCGTCGACCCCCACAGGCAGACTTGGCACGGCGCCTCGACGACGTGCCCGCGAAGGACGCGTTTCGAAGCCGGCAACGAGCACAACCAGCACTTCCCGTTGCACTTGTTGCACTTGTACCACCACTTCGCCTGGCACGCCCAGCACGAGAACGTGTCCCGTTGCTGCGCGACGCCGCCGCGGGCGATCGCGGTGACGTGCTGCATGAGGCAGCACGAGAAGCAGCAGTAGTACGCCTGCAGCGCGCTCCAACACATCGCGCCGGGAATGTACGCGAGCAGCGCCGCGGGGAAGACGGCGATCTTCGCGCACGTCCTGCAGCACGGGTCCATCTCCGGGTCGTCCTTGCAGCCGCACCAGCACGTCGGCGGCGGCGGCGGCGGCGCGATCTCCTGCATCACCGCGGTCACCACCTGTCCCGCGGGCGTGCCCGCGAGGGCTTTCGCGGCCGCCCCGCCCGCGGCGGTCGCGACCTTGCTCATCATCCCTTGCTTCGCGGGGGGGCGCGTCGCCGTCATCGGCTGCTGTTGCGCGCTTTGGCCGGGGGGGGCGTACCCGCCCTGGCCCATGATCGGTTGCTGCGCCATGGTGGGTGGCCGCACTGGGGGGGGGGGGGGGTACGTCTCCGCGCGGGCGAATTTGTCGAGCGGAAGCGGAACGCAGCGCAGGCGGAACGGACATCCGTAAACGCGCTCTCGGGCGAACCACGTCGCGTTGCATCACACGCGATCAAATATTTGATTGAAAGCGAATCGTTCATCATTTCTCGAACGCATTTGAACCTGAGTTTGATAGGGCAAAATCAGCGCTGTCATCCTGTCAATTACCAATTCTCTCGTTCACTCATCTGGCGCGAGGAGGTCGTGCGTCGCGCGGGCGCGATGAGCGCGTGGAAGGAGCGATGGCGGTCGCTCAGGGGCGACCGCGCCGGCGGCCGCGGCGGCGCGTCCAAGAGCGCGCCCGAGGGCGCGCTCTCCGCGTTGACGCGGTCGCCGTCGGCGTTGCATTTCCCCAATTGCCGGAACGCGCGCGCGTCGAACGCGACGTCGACGTCGCGCGGCGGCGACGCCCTTCCGCGCGCGCACGCGACGAACGCGCCGGCTCGCGAGCGAGAGCACGACTGGAGCGTTGAGATCCCGCTCCGGTTTCGCGGTCGCGTCGCCTCCGGCGAGTGCGACGTCGCGCTCGAGCTCGTGCGCGTGGACGTCGGAAGAGAGCTCCCGGAGGGCGTTCCCGACCGCGACGGCGCGCGTCGGCGGCGGCGACAGCGGCGGCGGCGACGCGCGGACGGCGCGCGGGACGACGACGACGACGACAACGACGACGACGCGCACCGCGCGCGCGACGTCCTCGAGCGCGTCGTCGACGCCGCGGAGACGGCGTGCGTGCTCGCGTGCGTGGGGACGGCGCACCCGGAGACGAGGTCGCTGACGCGCGCGATGGCGCTCGCCGGCGCCGCGAGCGTCGCGGGTGGGATCGCGGGAGGCCTGAGTCGCGGCCGCGGAGGCGCGACGGCGCGCGATAGCCGCGACGACGACGACGACGACGCGCGCGACGCTCTGGGGAGCTACGACGGGCACGACGGCGTCGAACGCGGCGCGGTGAATTTCGCGCGGCGCGCGTGCGGCGGCGCGTTGGCGTTGCACGCGTCGTCGTCCGCGATGAGAGCGCTCGCGCCGGAGACGTATCGCACGCTGAAGAGCGCGGCGACGCTCGCGGCGATCAAGATCGTCTTCGCGCAGCCCGCGAACGACGTCTCGTCGGGAATGGGATCGGGATCGGGATCGGGATCGGGATCGGGATCGGGAGGAGAAATAGAAAACCGACCGGCGGGGCGCGGCGTTCGCGGCGGCGTCGGGGGCGTCGTCCGCGCCGGCGTCGAGGACTGGCTCTCGCGCGTCGTCGGGAGACGCGCCGCGTGCGAGATCGAACGCGACGGCGTGGACGTCGGCGGCGACGAGTGGCATCGACGGTATCGATGGGCCGCGCTGAGGGTGTTGGACCTCGTCCCCGCGACGCCGTCCGCGCCGACGCTGGCGCCGTTGCTCGCGTTCGCGAGCGGCGTGGCGTTGACGGTAGCGCGCGGGGGGGTCGGGTTCGGCGTCGACGGCGAGGATGTCTCCGTCTGCGAAGGCGGCGGGGGACGATCGCGATCGCGAGGGCGCCGGTTGCACGCGGCGTGGTCGCCGAAAGGGGTGGGCGGGGTCGCGCGAGGCGCGAGGCGGCGCGAGGGGACGGCGTCCGATCCGATGGGGATCGCGCTCCTGAGTCCGTTTCTCAACTTGGATCAGGTCACGACCGCGGAGGTTCTCGCGTTCGAGGGGGCGTCGTGCGCGTCGTCGCCGAGCGCGAACGCGAACGCGACGCCCGTGAAGCGCGGATGGCTCCCGCCGTCCCCGACGAGCGACGCGGGGTCGTCCCGAGCGTCGGATTCCCCGGGGGATCGAGCGTCGTCCGTCGTCTCACAGGAGGAACGCGCCGGCGTGCGGTGCGTAGAGGGCGACATCTGGGGCGCCGCGGAGAGAGCGAGCGCGGCGGCGTTGTGTTACCGCGGCTCGTTCCTTCTCCTCGCGTTTCTGCCAGTGTTCTTCGTCTCCGTGCCTCTGCTCGTCTTGAGCGAGAAACCGGGCGCGGTCAGGGCGTTCACCGCGCTCGGCGCGAGCGGCGTCGTCGCCGTGCTGTTGGGGCTCGCGTGCGTCGTCGCCGGGTGCGTGCTCTTATACTCCGACGTCGGCGGCGGGTTCGGGTCGTATCAGGACCAGTCTGAGACGTTCGGGTTCGCCGCGTCGGTCGCGACGGGGAACGCGCTCATCGCGGGTCCGGGTCTGTGCGCGCTCGCGCTTCTGTTCTGCGCGATCTTTTTTACCGGCGGCGACAGCGCCTCGAGCGTCCTCGCGAGGAAGGAGACCAAAGCCGCGATGCGAAGGCGCGCGTGGAAGACGCTTCACGCCGCGGTGTCCAACTGCGGCGCCGCGCTCGTGAAGTGGGCGCAGTGGGCGTCCGTTCGCAGGGACATCTTCCCGGAGGACTTTTGCGAGGCGATGAGCGCGCTGCACGACGACGCGCCTCGGCACTCGAGGAAACACACGGAGAAGATCATACGCGAAGAGTTCGGGGTCCCGTCCGGGGACGTCTTCCAGCACTTCCCCCCGGAGCCGGTCGCGAGCGGGTCCATCGCGCAAGTGTACCGGTGCGTGTTGAAACCCGAGGTGGCGCGCGCGTGCGCGGCGCGCGATCCGGAGCTCGCGCGGCGGCTGCGAGAGCAGCGAGGGAAGGCGTCGAGCGCGGGAGCGGGAGAACAGGCGGCGCGGTCGCTGTCGTCGCGGGGGAGGGGCGGCGCGACCGCGATCGCGCGCGGGGGGTCGAGCGCGGAGGCGTTGGCCTCCGCCGCGAGCGACGCCGCGGGGTGCGTCGTCGCCGTGAAGGTTCGCCACCCGGGCGTCGCGCGGCAGATCTTTTTGGATTTCCAAATATTGAAACGCGCGGCGAGGCTGGCGTCCGGCGTTTTCTCGCTGAAGGGGATCAACCTCGAGGAGACGCTCGGGCAATTCTCGCACAGCATGACCGCGCAGACGGACCTGAGAACGGAGGCGAAGCACTTGCGGCGATTCGGGAGGAATTTCCGAAAGGAGCGACAGGTGAACGCGCCGTGGCCCGTGCCCGGGCTCGTCACCGAGGGCGTCCTCGTGGAGACGTTTGAAAGAGGCGAGGCGCTGTCGAGCACGATCCGCCGCGGGTGCGAGCACAACAAGACGCTCTGCGCGCACGGCGTCGACGCGTACCTCAAGATGCTCCTGCGGGATAACTTCCTTCACTCGGATTTACACCCCGGGAACATTCTGTTTCACTTGCACCAAATCTCCGACGCGGACCCCAGCGCGTCCGCGGCGGCGCTCAACGCGATCAAAGGCGAGGTCAGGCTCGTGCTCTTGGACTTTGGGATCGCGGACGAGCTCCCTCAGGACGTGCGCGATCGGTTCTTGACGTTTCTCTTCTCGCTCGTTCGCGAGGACGGCCCGGCGGCGGCGGACGCCATCTTAGGATGGAGCTCGGATCAAAAGTGCGTCGGCGCCGCCGCGGAGGCGCTCCGAGCGGACATGACCGCGCTCATACGCGAGTCGTGCAGGATAACGAAGCAACGCGTGGACATCGACGCGGTGTTGAAGAAGGTGCTCACGCTGTTGCGTCGGCACGGCGTCTCCGTGGACGCGGTGTACGCGTCGCTGGTCGTGTCCATGTGCGTGCTGGTCGGGTTCGCGAACGCGCTGGACGACGAGCTGTGTCTGTTTGAGGTTGCCGTGAGCGCGTTCATGTCGTACTCCGTGACGGGGGAGGTCGTCGGGAAGCTCTTCGAGAAGTAAACGTAGCGTTGACGTGAAGCGAGTTCCAAACATTTTTCCGCGCCGTGGAGATCTCACTGTCAAGATCTGATGCGATGATGCGACTGCTCGCGAGCGCGGTCTGCAACTCAACGACGATGTGATACAGGCTGCGCGCCGTGGATGTGTAGGGGGTGGTCCAGGTCTCCTAAACTCCGAAAAAAGGCCGTACGAACTTAGGGCACGTACTGTACGACCTTAGGGCACCCCAAGCACTGTATCTCTCGGACGTTCCGACCCTTCCGGCTGTCCCCTCCGCACGCGTCCGCGACGCACGACCGCGGTTGATCCCGCGGCGTGCGCGGCGGACGACGCGGAGGATGGCGACGGTCGCTCACCCGCCGCAGCCCGCGGCGGGCGCGACGGCGGCCCCGACGGTCGAGGACCTCGTCCCGGGAAAGGTCGCCTCGCGAAAGAAGAGCGACGCGTTGGCGGTCAAAGTCCCGGGGAGAGCACGACCTCCCAGGGAAGCGTCCCCGGCGTCCGTGAACGGGTTCCCCGCTCTCGAGGACGACGCCACGGACGGCGCGTCCGTGGAACAAGAGGTGCGTCCTCCCCCGACGCGTCCGCTCGCTGTCTCGCCCGGGCCGGAGACGCGCCCGCGGAATCCAAATCTGCGCGCGCGAGAATCGTAGTTCCCCCGAGCCCCGACCGACGACCTCCGCGCCCCCTTCGTTCACAGGCCGAGGACAGCAGCGAGAGCGACGCGAACGACTCCGGCGACGCGCGCGACGCGCGCGACGACCACGACCGCGCGAGCGCCGGGAAGGGCGCGTCCCCGTCCGGGAGCGCGAGAGAAGGACGCGTCGTCGACGCGGCCGCCGCGGCGGCGCTCGCGCCCGTCGTCAAGCCCGACCCGGTCGTCCCCGGTCTCTTCACGATCGACATCCCGGAGCTGCGCCTGGACGGACCGTGCCTGCGCAGCTGCTGCGCGCCGGCCAACGGCAGGGAGTGGCTCAGGAAGGACCGGCGCGAGGGACCGCCGCGGGTGACGCCGCCGCTCGCGCCGGGGACGGAGCCGACGGTGATCTTCGGCGCGTGCGAAGCCGCGTGCGACGCCGCCGGGCTGGACGTCGTGGACGAGCGCACGAGCAAGCTGTTCGTGAGGTACAACGGGGTGAAGAATAACGGGGTGAAGGCGGCGTTTAAGACCGCGGGGTTCAGGACGGTGCTGAATAAGGCGTCCGAGGGGTACAACGCGGTGTGGAACGGGTGCCTGAAAAACGAAGACTTGAAACGCGTGAACCGGTATCAAAGAGTGAACCACTTCCCCGGGACGTGGGAGGTCGGAAGGAAAGATCGGCTGTCGAGGAACATCGGCAAGGCGCGGAGACGCACGCAGGGGAGCGACGACTTCGACATCCACCCGCGGTCGTTCGTGCTGCCCGCGGACAGCGACGACTGGCGCATAGAGTGCGACCGGTACCCGGACGGTTTGTACATCATCAAACCGCCGGCGTCCTCGCGCGGGAGAGGGATCAAGATGATGCGTCGACCGAGCGACATCAAGCCGGACAAGGACTACCTCATCCAGAGATACATCCGAGACCCGCATCTCATCGACGGGTACAAGTACGACATCCGCGTCTACGTCGCGGTGACGTGCTTAGACCCGCTGAGGGTGTACGCGTACAGAGAAGGTTTAGTCCGTCTCGCGACGGAGCGATACACGAACGACGGCGTCGACTTGAACAAGCGGTGCATGCACCTGACGAACTACAGTGTGAACAGTAAAAAAGAAGCGTTCACGATGGGCGAGACCGCGGAGGACGACGACGTCGGGTTCAAGTGGTCCCTCTCCGCGCTCAGGAGGCACTTCGACGATAACGGTTTGGATTTCGAATCGACGTGGGCGAGGATGAAAGACGTCATCGTGAAGACGATGATCGCGGTCGAGTCCCCGATGAACACGAAGAGCAAGATGTTCGTCCCGGACCGGCGGATATGCTACGAGATCTTCGGGTTCGACATCATGCTCGACTCGAGGCTCACGCCGTGGCTCATCGAGGTCAACACCGGTCCGTCCCTGAGCGCGCCGTCGAAGCTGGACATGCACGTCAAGCACCGGATGCTCGCCAACTTGTTCAACCTCGTCGGGGTGACGCCGTACGACCGCGCGAAGTTCAAGGCGATCGAGGCGGGGAAGCGACGCGCGCGTCTGACGGGCGTCCCGGAGCCCAGATCCGATCCGCGCGTCGGCAGGGCGACGATCGACATCGCGAGCGCGAAGGTTGGGTCGTCGTCGTGGCGGGGGAAACCCTCCGGCGGCGGGAACCCCGCGGCGGCGGCGAACGCGTTTCCGAAACGCAAGGACGTCAAAGCCCTCAACGGCGTGTGCTTCGACCACTTCACCACCGCGGAGCTCCCGGAGGTGATCCGCGAGTCCGACGCCGAGCTCGGTCGCGCGCAGGAGTTCGAGCGGTGCTTCCCGGCGTCGTCCCCGCGGTTGAACGATAAGTATATGGCCCTGTTCGAGGGGGGACGGTCCCTCAGCCGGCAAGGACGCGCGTCCACCCCGACGGAGTTTGGCGGAGGTCAACACGACGCGCTCGGAGGCGAACGCTACGTCCGCGGCCGCGCGCAGCCGCGGACGGCGGCGGCGGCGGCGGCGGGCGCGCCCGCGCCGGACGGAGGCCGCGCCGCGACCGTCTCCGCCGTCTCGAGCGCGCGCGGCGGCGTGCGCGGCGGCGCGCTCAGAGGCGCGCAGCCGCAGCCGAGGGGTGACTCGCCCGCGCGTCCGTTCGGCGCCGTCGGGAGGCCGGGGGGGTCGTTCGCGCGCGTCGGCGCCGGCGTCGGCGCCGGCGTCGTCGACCTCGACCTCGGCGCGTCGCTCGCGTCGACGCTCACGCTCGGCGGCGCGAGGGCGGGACGGCCGGGACGGGGGGGCGACGGCGGCGACGGCGGCGGTGGCGGCGTCGCGTTCGGTTCGACGCGCGGGGGGGGGAAGGGTGGGTTAGGTAAAGGTTCGGGGAGGGAAAAGGCGCCGTCGTTCTTCGTGGGGCCGCCGCGGTGAGCGCGCGGGGCGCGGGCGTCCCCGCGACGCGAATCTTAGATAGGCCTTAAATTATTCAAAAAAGGAAAAAACCCTGAAAAAACCTGTGCTTTCAATCGTCGATGAAGTTTGACCCGTTGACCTATGAAGTTTGACCAACGTTTTGAAACCGACACGTCAGCTCCCAGAATTCCGACGCGGACGGCTCGCGCGAAAGTCTGCGGACGACAAGCCGCCTGAAAAGTCGGGCCGCCGCCTCGCGCCGTCGCGGCAGAACGAGTCGCGCGCGCGATCCCAAGCGACGCGCACGATGGGAGCCGACGAGAGGGCGTGGCCCGAGAGCGACGCGAGCCGGCGGCGGTCGCTCGACGCGTCCGACGCGACGCGCGCGGCGTCCGTCTCGGCCGCTGCCTTAACGAACGAAATCCTCGCCGAACGGCTGCCGCACGACCTCATCGCCTCCGTGTTCGCCGCGCTGCCGCCGCCGTCGCGCGCGCGGTGCGCGGGCGTCTGCAAGGCGTGGCGCGCGCTCATGCGCGAGCTCCCGCCGGAGCAGCTCTGGAGAGAGCTCGACTTCGCGACCGAGACCGACGGCGCGTTCAAGGTGCGAACGCCTTTTTCGCGCGAGAGGGGGAGGACCCGTCGCGCGGCGCGGCGTAAAAGATTCCGCGCACTCGTCCCTCCGCCGCTGACCCGCCCTCGCGCCCCGCGTACTTCACCGCAGCTGAACAAAGAGTCGTTCGCCGCCGCGACGAGGATGGCGCGAGGAAAGCTTCGCGTCATCAAAGTCCCCGGCGACGCGGGCATCTCGCGCGCGTCGCTCGTGAGCGTCCTGCGCGCGAACCGAGAGACGATGCGCGAGCTCCACGCCGTCGCCGACGCCGCCGGCGAACGCGGGTTCTGGACCCCGAAGCACGTCCACGACGCGATGTGCGCGGTCGGTCCAAAGTTCCGCAGACTCGTCGTGGACATCAAGTCCCGCGGCGTCTGCGCGGCGCTGATACACCAGCTCGGCTCGCCGCTCGTCCGCGTGCGTCGCCTGGACGTTCGCCGCGCCGCGCTCGGGTTCGAAGAGAAGGAGAAGCTCTTCGCCGCCGTCGCGCGGCTGCGATCAGAGACCGCGTGCGAACTGAAGAGGATCGCGTCCGCGCCGTCGCTGCTCGACCTCGCGGCGTTCGGGAAAGAGTCGGAGGAGGCGGAGGCGGAGGTCGACGCGTTGCGGCGTCTGACGCTCGCGTCGTGCGGCTTGACCGCCGGCGACGCGAGAGCGCTCGCGCGCGCGATCGACGAGCGCGTCGACCCGTGGGGCGGCGAACGCGACCACCGCGACGCGACGCCGTCGAGCTCGAGCTTCGCGCCCGCGATGGACCTCGATCTCGCGGATAACCACGGGATCGGGTGCGACGGCGTCAGAGCGCTCGCGCCGCTCGTCGCGTCCGGCGCGGTGCGCGCGTTGGACTTGGAAAATTGCGGCGTCGGCGAAGCCGGCGCGGTCGCGTTAGGCGCCGCGCTCGCGTCGCCGTCGTGCGCGCTGACGCACCTGTGCGTGAGCAGAAACTTCATCGGCGCGGTTGGGATGGACGCGATCGCGGTCGGACTGCGTCGCGGCCCGGGGGGGATGCGAGAGCTGCGCGCGTCGCACAACGCGTTCGGCGACGCGGGCGCGACGTCCTTCGCCGCCGCCATCCGTCATTCGTCGGGCGGCGCGTTCGAGATGCTCGAAGTCCTCGACGTCGGCGTGAACGGCATCGGCGCGGACGGCGTCGACGCGCTCGCGCGGGCGCTCTTTCACGACGATGGCACGAGCGCGGTCCCAGCGCTGCGCGAGCTGCGGTTGGAAGGGAACCCGATCGGCGCCAGCGGCGCGGCGGCTCTCGCGGCGGCGGCGACGACGGCGTCGACGCGCGACGCGAGCTTGACCACGCTCGGCCTGAGCGCGACGCGGTTAGGTCTGCACGGCGCGGTCGCGGTCGCGAGCGCGGTCGCGTGCGCGAGCGGGAGGTTATCGCGCGTGAAGCACCTGGACTTGAGCGCGAACGACATCGGCGAGAGCGGGTCCAACGGCGGCGGCGCCGGCGACCTCGACCTCGACCTCGACCTCGACCTCGACCTCGACCTCCTCGCGACGAACGCCGACGCGCGCGGCGCGGAGACGCCCCCGCGGTCGCGGCCGTGCGCGCTCACGACGCTCGCGTCCGACCTCGCGTCCGCGCCGAGCCTCGTCCGCGTGAACCTCGGGTACAACTCCCTCGGCGACGTCGGCGCCGGGGCGTTTTCGACGTCCATCGCCGCCGCCGCGCTCACGCGCGCGTTCACCGAGCTCGACCTGCAGCGGAACAGCATCGGGGACGAGGGCGCGGCCGCGCTCGCGAGGGCGCTGAACGGGATCGCGTCCACGACGCGCGGCGCCGGCGTGCGCATGGACGTGCGGTCGAACTCGATCGGCCCGAGAGGGATGGAGGAGTTGCGGGAACACGTCGAGCGCGGCGTCATGATCTCGAATTTCATGCCCGCGCCGTTGCCGCGTCGGCGGGGGAGGGACGTCAGGACGCCGTCGCCGGTGGAGGGGGAGGACGATGACGTCGTCGCGAACGCGATGGTCGAGCCCGTGGGGGCGTAGGCGTAGGCGTAGGCGTAGTGCTTCGAATATCACGCGCGAGGTCGTTCGACGAATGAACGGAGAGAACAGGAGAGAACGCATCACTTTCCGTTTCGGAGCGCACGATTCGCAGACGATTCGATTCGCGCGCCAGAGGGCGCGACGCATGGGGGCGGCGGCGAGGGTGGCGATGGCGGCGGTCGCGAGGGCGGCGGTCAAGCCCCCGCCCGCCGCGTCGCCGCGTCGTCACTCCCCCCGCGCGTACGAGGCGCAACTCCTCGCGAGGGGCGGGCAGCCGCGGTGGCCGACGTGCGCGTACCCGCCGTCCCCGGACGACGACGACCGGACGGAGCAGAACCGCGCGGGCGTGCCCGTGGGCGCGTACGTGTGCGATCGCGCGGACGCGGTGCAAAAAGTCCGAGCCGCGCTCAAGGGGACGGGCCGACTGAAGCGCGACGGCGTCACGAGGTTCGACGCGAGGGTGTGGGACGCGTGCCGAGGGGACGACGCGAATGGGGGCGCGAATCGAGGATCCGAGGATCCTCATCCTCCCTCCGCGGCGTCGTGGGCCGTGCACGCGTTCGCGCCGCTCGACCCCGGCTCCGAGCTCCCCGAGCTTCTCGCGCTCGCGGCGTCCGGCGAGGCCACGTTCGTGCGAAACGTGCGGCTGGGACACCCGGCGTGTTACGTCGACTGGGACCCGGACGACGGCGCGGCAGAACGCGGCGACGACGCCGACCGCCCGCTCGGGACGCGGACGCCGACGATCACGACGGACGAGGCGCGGCGCGTGATTCGAGAGCGGCGGGACGAGGAAGCCTTCGCGCGCGCGCGGAGAGGAAGGCGCGGCGGGGTGCGACCGCCGCGGTGGAAGCCCGAGGCGCACGACGCGCTCGCGAGCGTTGTCGTCGGCGCCGAAGGAGCGGCGGCCGGGTCCGGGGCCGGGGCCGGGGCCGGACACGGACACGGAGGGGTCCCGGTCCCGGAATTCCCGCCGTTCACGTTCTCGGAGCTCTTCGCCGGCGTCGGCGGGTTCGGGATCGCGCTTCGGTCGCTGGGAGGGTCCGTCGTGTTCGCGTCCGAGATGTGCCCGCACGCGCGACGCACCTACGCGGCGAACAACGTCGTCGAAATCGGCGACGCGCCGCCGGCGTTGATCGTGGGGGACATCACGGACGTGTGCGAGGATATCATCCCGCCGCACGACATCCTCACCGGGGGGTTTCCGTGCCAGTCGTTCAGTCAGCGCGGGGAGAGGAAAGGGTTCGAGGACGCGCGCGGGCAGCTGTTCCGGGAGATCGCGAGAGTGCTGGGCGCGAGGAAGCCGACCGCGTTTTTCCTCGAAAACGTCGAGGGGTTGGTCACCTTGGACGACGGCGCGGCGTTTCAGATCATCTTGAAAGAGCTCGAAGACGTCGGGTACGACGTGCACTCGCGCGTGTACGACGCGAAAGGGTGGGTCCCGCAGAGCCGGAAGCGGGTGTACCTGGTCGGGTTCCGGAAAGACGCGGCGTTGGCGACGCCGTTCCGGTGGCCGCCGCGCCGCGACGACTGCGGCGGCACCGTGGACGACATCTTAGAAGAAGAAGTAGAAGAAGAATCCCCCGATGACGGGTACGACGCGGACGTCGAGGACGACGACGCGAACGTGTTCACGTCGTGCGAGGTGTCCGAGTACCAGATGGATCGCGCGAGCGCGTACTTTAAGCGCGTGCATCACAGAGAGCCGGACCACCCGGGGTTTTTGTTCGCGGAAACCGGCGGCGTCGCGCGGACGCTGTGCGCGTCCTACCGCAAGTCGTCCGCGTACAACGCCGAGCTCGTCAGGGCCGACGCGACGTCGACCCGACGCGCGCGGCCGAGGTACTACACCCCGAGGGAGGCTGCGCGCGTGATGGGGTTCCCCGAGACGTTCCAGCCGGACCCGGAGCGGGCGTACCACGAGCTCGGGAACGCGGTCGTGCCGCCTCTCGTGCGAACGATCGCGGAGGCGATCTTGAGGAGCATGGGGGAGTCTCGATAGATGTTACAATAGATATTAATCGCGTTACTCCGACGTTCCAAACGACGAGACGCGCTTCGTGAACCCCTCGAACAAACGGCAAAAGGTTTTGCCGCCGTTTTTGCCGCCGTTTCATGCTCGACGATGATGAGACCACCGCCGCCTCAACACTGCTCCGGTTGACCTGAAAATTTGTGGAGAGGTGCTTCGCATCATGTGGACGATTATTACATGCAAAATTATATGCAAAATTACGCAAAAGAATGACATCGGTGAGATTCGAACTCACGCTCTTTCGAACAGGAGCCTTAATCCTCGATGTCGAGCAACCCGGAATAATCCAGGTAAGGTAGTAGAGGTGACATGGAGACTCACGTGAATCAAAGAAATATAAAGTTACTTTGTAATTTCGAAGCTGCTTTCGAGTACGTGTACGTGACGATCTCTACAATTGCTCATACCTTCTTCGGTAAATCATACGACTCAGCGGCAGAGCGCGCTCCGAGATTTTCTCGCGCGTCCACATCCACTACGAACGTACCGTCCTCGTCAGCAGAGATTTTTTATTTTTCGACGGTCTGACGAACCCTCAACGTCCTCGACTCCCCGCGATCCGGTGGATTTTTTGCGCTTTTGCCAAAAACGACGCTTCGACGTATCCTCGCGCCATTCAGCCTCCGCGCGAGCACGAGCCACGAACTCGTCTCCGCCCCTTTTCTCTCAAAACTTCTTTCAATCGCGCACGAGCATCAAAGGTACGCGCACGATCCGCTTTTCTCGCCCGAATTCCCCCTCCCTCCGCGCGATTGCCGGCGCGACGCGGGAAAAATTCGACGCTTTTTCCCGTCCCGACGCGAACGAACATCGGTCGCGTCCGCGTGGAAACGACCCGCGCGCGATCGCGCGCGCGTCGTTTCCCGCCGAGATCGCGCGGATGCTTTCTGTCTGAGCATCGTTCCGCGTTTTTCTCCGTCGCGTCGCGCGTTTTCGTCGTCGCGGGCGCGAGATCTGCGTCGGATCTCGCCGGGTGATGAGACGCGATTTTAATCGCGCTGGCAGAGGACTCCGTCCACGTGGTTCTTTCCCGTGGTATATCCAAAGCCGCGTTCGCGCGCGAACGACGCGATCGACGCGCGAATTCGATCGCGTCCGGTCGATATCGTCTCGTTCGACCGCTCGGCGCGTTCTCGCGCGCGCGTCGAGGCAATTACCCTCGGTCCCCCCGAGTTCGAACGCGATCGCGTTCCCCCGTCGGACGGTCGGTTTTCGGTGCAAGAGTAACTAACATATAACACCGTCTGTTCCCTCCTCCCGCAGCTCGAGTGTCGTCCGCTATCTGACCAACGTTAAAAACTAGACACAACGACGATGTCTATTCAATCGGTCTTCCAAGGCGGCGACGCGGCCCGGACCGCCGCGTCGCAGATCGCCGAGCAGGTCAAGTCTTCCCCCGCCGGGATGAACCCCGCAGACGTCGCCGCCCTGAGCGACGCGCTGAAAGAGGGCTCCAAAGGCACCGCCGCCGCGAGGGAGGGCGCTTGCATCGCCATCGACACGATCGCGTCCGTCGCTAAGACGACCGCGGAGCACCAGCTCATGCCGTTCGTGGCTGACCTCGTGCGATGCTGCGCGGACAAGCACTCCAAGGAGGTGCAGTCCGCCGCCGCCGCCGCGACGCTGACGCTCGCGAAGACCTCGTCCGCGTACGGCCTCGACGCGGTGCTTCCCTCGCTCCTGACCGCGATGGACCCGAAGGAGAAGTGGCAGACCATGGTCGGCGCGCTGAACATGGTCTCCAAGTTTGCGGAGTGCTCGCCTCTGTCGACGTCCTTCGCGTTGAACGACATCATCCCGATCGTGACGCAGATGGTGAACGACTCCAAGCAGGAAGTGTCCGTCGCCGCGCGCGAGTGCCTGAGCAAGATCTGCCAGTCCATCGACAACAGGGACGTCGAGCCGTTCATCCCCGCGCTCGTCTCCGCGACGATCGACCACGAGGAAGTCATCGAGTGCGTCCAGAAGCTGGCGTCGACGACCTTCGTGCAGACGGTGACCGCGGCGCCGCTCGCGCTGATCGCGCCGCTTCTCCTCCTCGGCTTTCGCGTGCGCTCCACCGCGACGAAGCGCATGTGCGCGGTGATCATCAACAACATGTCCAAGCTCGTCGAAGACCCGGAGGACGCCGCGCCGTTCCTCCCGAAGCTCGTTCCCGCGCTCGAGAAGGCGAAGGAGGAGATCTCCGACCCGGAGGCGAGAACCGTGTGCGGCAAGGCGTTCGAGCAGCTCCAGTCCATCGAGGAGAGGCTCAAGACGCACAAGTCGTGCAAGGCGGTGCGCGGCGTCGTCGAGAAGGAGGTCAAGGTCTCCTTTGGTCTCTCCGACGACAAGCTCGAGTACGTCGCCACGCTCGTGTGCTCGCTCGTGAACTGCAAGGTGATGGACGACGACGACTGGGCGGACGAGCTCAAGCCGTACGGCGTCTCCGAGGAGGGCGCGAAGAAGGCGTTCAAGGCTCTCGCGGCGCTGTACTTCGCGGACGCGGTCGAGGAAGAGGAGGACGACGACGCTGAGCAGCTGTGCGACTGCAAGTTCACGCTCGCGTACGGCAGCAAGGTGCTGCTGCACAACACGAAGCTCAAGCTCAAGCGCGGGCACAAGTACGGCCTTCTCGGCGGGAACGACTCCGGGAAGACGACGCTGATGCGGGCGATCGCGAACGAGCAGGTGGACGGGTTCCCTCCCGCGAGCGAGCTCCGAACGGTGTTCGTCGAGGCGGACATCATCGGCGAGCTGTCCGACCTCCCGTGCGTGGATTACATCCTCGCGGATCCGCGCATTAAAAAGGCGGGCATCACCGAGGAAGTCGTCACGCGGATGCTCATGTCCGTCGGCTTTGGCGAGATGCAAAACAAGGCGAAGACGCTCGTGACGTTCCTCTCCGGCGGGTGGAGGATGAAGCTCGCGCTCGCGCGCGCGATGTGCCTCGACGCGGACATTCTCCTCATGGACGAGCCCACGAACCACCTCGACGTCATGAACGTGAAGTGGGTCGAGGAGTACCTCCTGTCGCTCAAAAACGTGACGTGCATCATCGTGTCGCACGACACCGGCTTGCTCGACCGCGTGTGCAACAACATCATCGCGATCGATACGCTGAAGCTGAAACAGTTCCGCGGTAACCTCACGCAGTACGTCGAGAAGAACCCGAAGGCGAAGTCGTTCTTCGAGCTCAAGTCCTCGACCGGGTTCGTGATGCGTTTCCCGCAGCCCGGGTTCATCGAAGGCGTCAAGTCCAAGGGGAAGCCGCTCATGAAGATGGCCGGGTGCACGTACACGTACCCGGTGAACTCCGAGCCGACGGTGAAGGACGTCACCGTGCAAGTCTCCCTCGCGTCGCGCGTCGCGTGCGTCGGCCCGAACGGCGTCGGTAAATCGACGATGATCAAGCTCCTGACTGGCGAGGTCATCCCCCAGGAGGGAACCGTGTGGAAGCACCCGAACGCGCGCGTCGCGTACGTCGCGCAGCACGCGTTCCACCACATCGAGCAGCACTTGGATAAGACCCCGAACGAGTACATCAGGTGGCGTTTCCAGCACGGCGACGACAAGGAGGCGCTCGTGAAGGACTCCATGACGCTCACGGACGAGGAGGCTAAGAAGTGCAAGGAGCCGGTGACGTTTGAGCTCAAGGACGACAAGGGCAACGTCACCAAGGTGAAGTGGTGCATCGAGAAGCTCACCGGCGGCAGGAAGACGGTCAAGAAGGAGTACGAGTACGAGGTGCAGTTCGTGAACATGTCCTACGACTCGAACCGCTACGTTTCCGCCACGAAGCTCGCGAAGTGGGGCTTCGAGAAGCACATGAAGATTGTCGACGAGAAGGTTGCCCAGCGCGTGGGGGCGTTTTCCACGCCGCTCACGACGGTGAACGTCGAGAAGCACCTCGAGGACGTCGGTCTCGACAAGGAGTTTGGAACGCACACGCGCATGTCCGCGCTGTCCGGCGGCCAGAAGGTCAAGGTTGTCATCGCCGCCGCGATGTGGAACATGCCGCACATCGTCATCCTGGACGAGCCGACCAACTACCTCGATCGCGACTCCCTCGGCGCGCTCGCGGGGGCGATCCAGACGTACGAAGGCGGCGTCGTCATGATCACGCACAACAACGAGTTCTGCTCCGCGCTGTGCCCGGAGACGTGGCTCATGCAGAAGGAAGACGACGGCATCGCGCGCTGCAACTGCAAGGGCGACGCGGAGTGGATGACGAAGAAGGCCAAGGAGCAAGTCAAGGGCGCGATTAAGATGGACGAAGTCACCGACGCGCTCGGGAACATCGTCGAGGTCAAAGAACAGAAGAAGTCCAGGGATAAGATGTCCAACAAGGAGAAGAAGAAGGCGGACAAGCTGCGCAAGGCGAAGCTCGCGCGCGGCGAAGAGCTCTCCGATGACGAGGGGTGGAGTGATTAATCCCCCCTCGTCGCGAAGAGAGGACGGCTGTCGCCCTGTAAACCAACCGCGCGCCGTCTCTCAAAAATGTTGTCTCAACAGAACGTTACGAAGAGTACCACCACCAAGAAGAAGAAGCCGCCACGAGCGCTTCGTATCATCACCTTGTCTGTACACACGACATCCTTTGACAGCTTCAATTCATTTTTTACGGATTGGAGTAGCTTAACTACTCGGTAGTGAGATATAGCTCGTCTCAGCGATTGTTTTTAATGAAAAAAAAGTTCAACCGCCGACGCGACGCGACGCCCCCGCTCGCTCGTCTCGTCAGTTTTCCACGCCCGCGACCTCACCCGACCCGGTTCTTATGCACCACCGTCGGCCCGTTCTCCTGGTAGTCCACCTTCGTGACGTACTGGTTCAGCGGGAACACCACCTTCGCTAAGATCGCCCCGCCGAACCACGACGCGTACTGCCCCGTCAGCGCGTGCGCGTACTCTGGCGCGCCCGCCTCCACCGGCCGCGCCGTCGGCGGCATCAGATCGTGCAGATCTGACGTTATCCTCCTCCCCAACCCGACCCCACTCCTCGCGCCCACCCCCCCGGCCCACCCCCCGTGCGTGAATATCGCGTCCAACACGCTCCTGCGCTGGTCCGGCGTGCACGCGTCGACTGAGGGTCGTTCCATACGAGCGAATGTCGGGGTGGAGTTGAAAGGCGTCAGTTGGAGTTGAAAGGCGCCGAGGGCGGGGATTGAAAGCGAGGGGTGGGCGGAGAGACGCGCCGGCAAAAGTCCTTAAGAAACGGCGTTCACCACGCGAAAGCGGTCGTATGGGAACCAGTGTATAGAACGCACCTGAGCGCAGCGACGCCTCCGAGACGCCGCCCTTGTCCGCGTCGGGCGCGAACAGCGACTCCACGCACGCCCTCCTCGCCGCGCCGTCGACGGTCACGACGTTCCCGTCCGGCAGGACGTGCGTCTTCGAGTCCGAAGCGTCGAGGGCGTCGTCGCGGCTCCTGCTGACGTGGCACGTCGCGTCCCTGACCGCGTCGACGTCGTCGTCAGAGAGGGCGGCGCCGGCGTCGCCGAGGAGCGATCGCGTCGCGTCGCGCGTCGTGACCGTCCCGAGCGCGCAGCGCGTCGCGGCCGCGGTCACGACGACGCCGTCGACCACGGGCGCGATGTCGGTGGTGCTGAACCCGACGTCCACGCTCACGCCGGAGGTTTTCCCGACGCCGTACAGCGCCGCGACGGGCTGCTCCGCGATGTACAGACCCGCGACGTTGAACGACTCGAACATGAGCTGCGTCAGCCGCTCGCGATCCGCCTTGGACGTGAACAGCGGCTCCGTGATCAGCGCCGCGCCCTCCTCGCCCTCGATCCAACCGCACTGCTTGTAGAAGATATGACGGTAGATCGCCTCCAGGGCGTCCCAGTCCGTCACCGCGCGGTCGACGATCACGCGCGTCGGGGGGATCGCGTCGCTGGTGGCGTCCGAGGCGAGGCGGACGGACGCGGGCGCGAGCACGCCTGGGCCGTACTCCGGGTTCGCGTACCCGGCTCGGATGAAGTCGTCGTCGTGGTCGATGACGACGATGTTTTCCCCGATCGCGGTCGCCATGACGACCGTCGCGTCGCGCGCGCGACGTTGTGGGGCCTCTACTCGGATCACGAGCATCAGTGAAGAAAAGAATGCTCGCGTCAGCAGAATGATGAGTTTCGCGCGACCCCGACGCGCTCCCGTCCAGAGCGCCACGCGCGGGGAATGCGCGCGGCGCCGCGTCGCGTCTGCGTCCCCCCCGCGCGCTCGTCGCGTGACCGCGTCGGACGCGAGGCCGCCGCCGCCGCCGTCGCCGCCGCCGCGCGTCGTCGTCCCCCGGCCCGTCCTCGCGCGCTCTCGTCGCTCGTCGCGTCGATGATGTCGTCCTCCGGAGGCGATGAGATCGAGACGCCGCCGTCGCCGTCCGACGTCGACGCCGTCCGCGCGTACGTCACGACCGGGCCGCTGTTCCCTCAGCTCGAGATGCGCGATCGCGACGTCACCGAGACGCGCGTCGCGGAGTGGATCGCGCTCGTCGCCGAGCTGTGCGACGTTCTCGGGTTCGACGCGCACTCGATGGACGACGCGCAGGCGTCGCGGACGTATCGATACTACCTCCCCGTGTACCTGTGGACAGAGGCGCGGATCCTCGCGCACGTGGACGCGTACCAGACGCCGCAGCGTTCGCGCGACCCGCCGCCGCCGCTGGTGGTCGGCCTCAGCGCGCCGCAGGGGTGCGGGAAGACGACCGTCGTCTCGACGCTGGTGAAGCTCTTGGAACGCCGCGGGACGCGCGCGGCGTCGCTGTCCATCGACGACGTGTACCTGACCGGCGCGGAGCAGGACGCGCTGGCGGCGGCGAACCCGACGAACGCGCTGTTGCGGTTCCGAGGGAACGCGGGGTCGCACGACGTCGGGTTGGGCGTGGAGACGTTGCGGGCGCTGCGCGACGTCAACGGCGTTCGCGGCGACGGCGGCGAGGCGCGCGGCGCGGTGAGAGTGCCGCGGTACGATAAGACGATGCGCGGCGGCCGCGGCGACCGCGCGCCCGTCGACGCGTGGCCGGAAGTTCAAGCGCCGCTGGACGTCGTCCTGCTCGAGGCGCGTCCCCGCTCGACCGCCTCGACCTTCGTTTCCCTCCCGCGACGAACGAGAGCCGCGACGAGAGTCGCGCCGCCGCCGCCGCCGCGTCCGCCGACCCCTCCCCACCCCCCCAACGACCCCCCTCCGCGACCCAGGGATGGATGCTCGGGTTCACCCCGATCGGCCCCGACGCGTGCGATGCGATCGACCCCGACCTCGTCGCCGTGGACGCGTCGCTGTCGAACGGCGGGTACGACGCGCTTTCGGCGCTCGTCGACGCGTGGGTCGTCGTGAAGGTGGGTCGTTCTACACACTGGTCCCCATACGACCGCGTCGGCGTGGTGAACGCCGATCCTTAAGGACTTTGCGCGTCGCATCTCTCCGCCCAGGGTCCCTCGCTTTCAATCCCCGCCTTCGACGCCTTTCAACTCCAACTGACGCCTTTGAACCTCACCCCGACGTCGCTTCGTACGGAACGACCGCGTCGTCGAGGTGGCGGACGCGGAGTGGGTCCGCGCGTGGCGGCTGCAGGCGGAGCGTCAGACGAGAGCGGAGGGGAGGCCGACGCTGAGCGACGACGAGGTGAGCGACTTCGTGGACAGGTTCATGCCCGCGTACGTCGCGTACTTGCCGGGGTTATACGCGCGAGGGCCGGACGGCGGCGGGGAGGGGGGCGGCGGCGGCGGCGGCGGGAGCGGGAAAAAGCCGACACTCGTCGTGGAGGTGGACGAACGCAGGAACGTGCGGTGACGCGACGCGACGCGATGCGACGTGCCGGGCTCGGCGGCGGCGACGATCGTCGGGTAGGTAGTAGCGCGCTGGTTAGGTGGTAGTTTTGAATAGGATTCCCGATCACAAAGGCGAACGACGACGCGCTGCTAAGCGCTTTTTTGCATTCACCCCGGAATCATCGCGTCCCGGCGCCCCACCGCCCGCTTACGAACGCGGCTTCTCCTTCTTCTCGCGGAACAACGCGGTCAACGCAACACCCGCCACCTTCACCACCTTGAAACGAACGCCGGGGATATCACCGACGGCGTGACCCTTACGTCCGAAACCGGCGATGAGGACCTCGTCGTTTTCATCCACGAAGTTCAAGCAACCGTCGCGAGGGACGAACGCCGCGATCTTCTTGCCGTTCTTGATGAGCTGCACGCGGACGCACTTACGGATCGCGGAGTTCGGCTGCTTGGCCTCGATGCCGAGCTTCTCGAGGACGATCCCCTTGGCGTGCGAGCACCCGGCGAACGGCTTCTTCCACTCCGAACCGAGGTTCGCCTTGTTGTAATCCTTGTCCGCCCAGCGCTGTTCGCGGCGGAGGTTGCGAAGCTTACGGCCGGCTCCGAGCCCACGAGTCTTCCTGTTGACGATGGCGAGCGTAGAATGGGGGGGGGAGGGAGGCGGTCAGGACGCGTTCGCGGAGCGTTCGACGCGGTCGTCGGCGGGACGAGAGCGCTTTCTTCGCCGCGGTAAAAATACCGCCGCGAGAACCCTAAAAACGCGACGCGCGATGGCGACGAACGCGGCCGGCGCGACGTCGCGGTGGACGCGACGACGCGCGCGGACGCTACGACGCCGTGCGCGAGACGAATCCCGGCGCGCGACGTGGCGGCGAGCGCGCGCGCGGTCGTCGCGGACGCTCGGCCGCGCGCGACGGAGGCTCGAAGACCTAGATTCACTCGTGCCTCCGCCACGAGCGCGCGGACCGGACGACGCGCTCGCGACGCGACGCCGACGCCGCTCACGCGCTGGTCGCGCGACGCGAAGAGATGAAGAGTCGCGTGGACGCACCCCATGGTTAGAGTTTGATACGAACGTGCGACGTGCGCGCGTGTAAGAGGCGGATCGATCGCGCGTCGACGCGCCTTTGGAGGAGTTGGAGGAGTTTGGAGGACGAAAACTGCCGATGAATCTTTCGTTTCAAATCGACCTCGAACCGGTGACACCGCACCTATCGAAGACACTTTTGAAACCAGCTCGAGGAGAATGTCGGCGTCGTCGAGCTCGAGGTCGACGCAATCGCGTGCCGCGTCATTGATTGATCACACACTCTATCCGCGCGCGCGCGGGCACGGTCGAGCGACCGTCGCGTCGCGGAGTGATCGCGCGGGACGCAGTGGAGCGGACGAGAGGAGAGCAGACGACTCGCGACCACGGACGACGACGCGATGCAGCGACCGTCGATGAGGCGGAACGAATCGCTGCAAGACCTCAGCGCGGTCGCGAAGCACTTCCCGGTGTACCTCGAACGCAGGGTCGCCACGGAGTCGTTCCGGCACGAGGCGTTCCAGTACGCGCTGTGGCTCCCCCTCGCCGGTGTCGCGAAGTACTTCGGATGCCACAGGACCGCGTACACGTTCCTGACGTGGTTCATCTTGGGCGAGCTCTTGCTAATCTACATGCACCAGAAGGTGGTCAAGTTCGTCCGGTGGTGGATGGTCCTCACCTTCGTCGCCGGCGCCGCGGCGTTGTTCCACGGGCAGTTAAACTTGTCCGAGAACGCGTACTGGCAGTTTCTGGTGTGGTACGTCATCGCGGGCATCGTGGGGTTCGCCGTCGTCCTGCCGTTCGTGCCGCGGCGATTCCTCCAGGGCGCGCCGGGGGTGTTGTTCGAGCTCGGGTTGATACGTCGAGGGTTCGCGGGGTCGACGGGATCGACGGGTGGGGCGGCCGGGGCCGGGGCCGGGGACGGGGACGGGGACGGAGCAGGGGGCGGGGGTGGGGATAAGAAGCGAGAGTAGAGCAGACGCGACGCGATCGATCGGCCGCCGGTCGTGGAGGTCCGCGAGCGCGAGTTGAACAGAGTTTGTCGCCACGCTTGCGACGTGTCCGTTTTCCGGTCAATTCATCGGTGTGTTTCAAAGCGCGAAAATGATTTCATGCGAGGACATCTGATTGAAAGCGATTTTGACGCAATTTTGACGCGCAGGTGCTGGCATGGCAGCTGTCGTTTCTTAACCTTTCGATACAGAAACTCCTTTCGATCGCTCGCTCCTCGCGCACTTGTGCCGGGGCCACGAACGTCCGCACGCCCGCGGTTCGGGCGGCGCGCGTTCCCTCGGCACTCTCCCGCGCGACCTACGCCATCCCCTTCACCCCGCGCCGCGTCGCGCGGCGCCGCGGTCTCGACGCGCGCCGCGTTTCGTTTCGTCCCGTGAATTCATTCACTCCTCGACAAGGCACCCATTCGCCGTCACCGCAGCAGCGCGAACGGACGGGGACGCACGAAGCGCCCGAAAGCGGACGAGCCGCGGGGACGCTCTCGAGCGCGGCGCGAGGACGACGAGGACGACGAGGACGAGCGCCTCGCGGGAGATAACAACTCCATGGCGCTCGTCCCGTCGTCGGCCCCCGCGTCGCCGCTCTTCGGCGTCGCCTTCGTGCGAAAGTCGTTCGTTATCCCGTCCGACGCGTTCGCGCGCGCGGACGCGACGCACTGGACGCTCGACCTGCGGAGGTACGTGCCCCCCGGGGTGCCGTACGGCGACGTCCGCGACGTGTGCCTGTTCATCCCGGACGGGAACGTCCTCGACGCGCACAGCGCGCTCGCGCTGTACGTCCAGGCGGGGACGAGCGCGTGGGAGTACCGAGGCTGCGTCAGCAACGTCTCGCCGTCCGAGGTGTTTCCGCTGCAGTGGCCGCAGCTCGCGGACGGGTCGCTGCCGGAGTGCGCGCAGATCGGAGTCTCGATCGAGCCGTTGGCCGAGGTCGCGGGGAAGGAGCAGATCGTGTTGGGGTCGAAGGAGGAGTTCGCGCGGCGGGTCGCGATGGATTTGTTCCGGTACATGGAGTCGTTTCAAGCCGCGACGCAGGTGAGCCAGGAGCACATGGTGGTTCCGATGAACGTGCTCGATCGGTGGTTCAACAAGTTCCAGACGAAATTTCGGTTAGACCCGAACTTCCTGACGCGGCAGAAGGAGCAGAGTTGAGCGTCGCGTCGTTCGTTCTTCGTACACGCACTAGCTAGCAGTAGCAAACACGCAGGCGCGAGGCGTCCACGATACAGGTACAACAATTCTTGAGAACTCGTCGTCGTCACGCGACCGCGGCAGCCTTCTCGATCGCGTCCTTCTCCTTCTCCTCCGCGACCGCGCGCTTGCTCTTCAAGACCGCGATCGCGTCTTGTAACATGCCACCCATCGCCGCGCGCTTCCTCAAGACGCTCTCGAGCTGGTCGCAGTACTCGTAGTGCGCCGACGCGTCCGCGGGTTCGCTCAGAAGGAGCTCGTTCTCCTCTCTGACGACCTCGATGAATCGCGCGTGCGTCGCTTCCAGAGCTAACCCCGCGCGCTCGACGTCCCGCGACGCGGCGTTCGACTCGTCCAAAGCCCTCGCGGCGACGTTCGCCGCGGCCGAGCGCGCGACGGTCACCTCGTCGCGAGCGAGTTCCTCCGGCGTTCGGAACCCATCCGCGTCGGCGTCGTCGTCGTCGTCCGCGTCGTCCGCGTCGTCCACGTCGTCTGCGTCCACCCCGAGCGCGTCGTCCAACGCTCTCGGCGAGCTCGTCTCTACCCCGCCGAACATCCCCGCGCCGCTCTCGTTCACGCGCACGGCGAGACCGACGCGGCGTCCTTCGTCCGGGGACGACCGCGTCGGCGTGGGCGGATCCGACGCTTTCCCTTTGCTCGGCGAGCTTCCGCCGCTCCCGTCCCCGTTCCCGTTCCCGTTCCCGCGCGCGCGGTCGTTCTCCTTCCCTCCCGAGATCCCGTCCTTCAGCCTGAGCGCGTACCGCAGCGTGTTCATCGTGTGCTCCGCCGCGACGGACGTCGGCGCGACGTGCGCGAGCAGCACCGTCTTGCTCTTCGCCCCGACGAACGCGTCCCGAAGCACCTTCGTGAGCTGCGACCCTCTGAACGGGACGTGGCGGTCGTCCCCGCCGAGGTCTTCCCGCGGGTCGACGCCCTCCGACACCGCGTTCACGCCGCCGCCGCCGCCGCTGGAGCTCAGCGCCCGGATGCACTCCTTCAGCGCGAGCAACGACTTGTTGATCTCCGCGCCTTCTTGGCGGATCTTCCCGTCCACGGCTTTTCCGCGATCGGCGCCGCGTTCGCTGCCGGCCAAGTCGACGAGGGATAACCGACTCATCGCGGGCGTTTTCGAGTCCATCGCATCCGCGGGGCGCAGCACCACTTGAAAAATCGAGTGCGACCGCGACGAGTTGACGTTGCTGTCCGTCCGGCTCGTCTTCCGACACGCCATCCCGCGTTCCACCGCGGTCATCACCTCCCGCGCGCTCTTCACCTTCGTCTCCAACAGCCCGACGAGACGCACGCGCCCTCGTTTATCCTCCAGCGCGCTGAGTTGCTTCCGGCTCGATAACAAGTCGTAACACTTCCCCGCGTAGATGTCGTAGAATGACACCCACAGCGACAGCCCGCAGCGTTCCGCGCCCTCGACGAGCTCCTCCGCGACGGCTCGGTAACACGCCTTCATCGTGTACGTCTTTCCGCTGCCCGTCTGTCCGTACGCGAAACACGTCGCGTGCGCGCCTTGGCCTTCTAAGCACAAACGAACGAGCGGCGCGACCGCGGAGGCGTAGACCTCGTCGTTCGTGGAGTCCTCGCCGAAGGCGCCGTCGAACGCGAACGCGGAGGACTCGACTCGCCGCGACATGTCCACGGAGACTTTCGGCTCGTGCACGACCATGTGCCCGCTGTCCCTCAGCGCGGTGACGACGTCGCACTGCTTCAGCGCGAACTCTTTCGCGCTCACCGGGCGCTTCCTCACCATCACGGACACCCTGCACGTCGGGATGTCCGCGTCTTCGCCGCGGCGTAACGGCGGGTACGGCGGCTCCTCGGACTCGAGGAGCAGCGCGCGCTCGGACTCGACCATCCGCGCGAAGCGAACGCCGTCGAGGTCGACGCCGTGCTGCTTCTTCTCTTCGTTCAGCGCCGCTTTCTCTTGCATCGCGCGCATTCGACGTTCCTCGCGCCGCTGCGCGATGAGTTGGACCTGTGATTCGCACGGGAGAGCGCGTCAGATCGAGAGAGGGGAGGGCGCGGCGTTTGAACCGCGAGTGCCGTCTGTCGTTGACCAGGAATCGCGGTCGCGGCGCGGCGGGCGCACCTGATTGACGCACGCGCCCTTGGGGTGAATCGCCGCCCGCGCCTTCTCCATCGGACTCGGGGAGTGCCTCGACGGGCTCGTGAGGACGCCCATGACGCGCGTCGCGGCGCGTCGCCTTGTGATGAGGCCGCGTCGTGGTTTTGAAAGCAGCAGCAGAGAATCGTCGTGTCAACAAAGCGCAGTTTCTCGGACCTCGAGTTGACATCCTCCGCAGTAGGCATGGCGCGCTCAGGGGGAGCCGCCGCGCTGGCGCTCCTCGCGCTGGCGCTGCTCCTCCTCCTCCGCGCGCCATCGCCATCACCCGTCAGCTTCGACGATGACCTCGGGATCCCACCCCCCGGCGTGGGGTGGCGCCATCGCATCGGCGACGCCCCCGAGGACGGCGCCGATGCGAAGAGACCGCGTCCGACGCCGATGCGAGGCACGGTCGACGACGGCGCGCGACACGGCGCCCCGCTCGGCGGCCTCGGGTCCGGGTCGATCGGAAGGTCCTACCTCGGCGACTTCTCGCGGTGGCACCTTAAAGTCGGGTCGCACACGCATCGCGTCGCCGCGCACACGTTCGCCGCGTGCCGGGTGAACGGCGTCGCGACCGTGCTGTCCGCGTCGCCCGCGCACGCGTCCCTGGAGGGCGTCCCGTCTTCCGAGGACGACGACGATTCGCCTCCGCCGCGAACGCGACGTCGACGGACGCTCCCGGAGGACGGCATCGGCGGGAACTACACCGCGCTGTACCCGCGCGCGTGGTACGAGTACGCCCCCGATGCGCTGCATCCCGACGCGCGCGTCGTCGTGTCGCAGGTGCAATTCTCCCCGGTGCTCCCGGGGGACTACCGCGCGTCCGCCGTCCCCACGGGCGTGCTTCGCTTCGTCGCGCGGAACGACGGGCGCGCCACCGCGAACGTCTCGATCATGCTGAGCTTCGAGAGCGTTCTGGCGTCCGCAGACGTCGCGCCGTTGGACGTGAGCGGACCGAGGGACGCGTGGAGGGTCGCGTCCGAGCCGACGACGCACGAGACGTTCTTCTCCTCGCGCGAAAGCCGGCGGGAGGGGCGGCGAAGGCGGCGGATCATCGTCGGCGGCGCGCACGCGCACACGGTCGGCGTCACGGACGGGACGTTCACGCCGAGCGCGGACCACCACGGCGGCGTCGCGATCGCGGCGGAGGGGGGCGACGGCGTCGAGGTCAGCGTGTTGCGCGAGTACGACACGCTGGACGGCGACGCGGTGGCCGCGGCGTGGGACGCGTTCGAGAGAAACGGGGGGTTCGCGGAGGATGAGGACGAGGAGGATGAGGCGGCGGCTGAGGAGGATGCGGCGTCGGCGGCGTCGGCGTCGGCGGCAAAAGTCGCTTCCCCGGGCGCCGCGGCCGCGGTGTCGGCGAAGTTCTCGCTGAAGCCCGGAGAGCGACGGTCGATCGCGTTCGCGATCGCGTGGGATCTCCCCGTGGCGACGTTCCCGCGCGGCCCGGCGTTTTTGAAGCGGTACGCGTGGAGGCGGCGTCGCAGAGGCGGCGGCGCGGCGGACGTCGCGATGAGCGCGCTGAGACGCGCGGCGTCGTGGGAGCGGCGCGTGCGCGCGTGGCAGGCGCCGTACGTGGACTCCGCGGCGAACGCGGACTCCAAAAGCCCCGTTCGACGCCCCGGGTGGTTCGTCACCGCGTTGTTCAACGAGCTGTACTACCTCGTCGACGGCGGGACGCTGTGGGGGCGGCCGCTCTCCGTCGGCGGCTTGGACGGGGACGAGTTCGACGACGACGAGGACGACGAGGTCGAGGACGCGCTCGATGGCGACTCCGCCGACGACGCGGAGGTGAGACTGCTTCCCATACGACCCCGTTCGCGTGGTGAACGCCGTTCCTTAAGGCGCCTCGGTCTTCTCGGCGGCGAGGACGGCGACGGCGGCGACGCGCGCGACGTCATCGGCAACGGCGGCGCGTGGGGCGGCACCCTGGGGAGGTTCGGGAGCGCGTCCGACGTCGACCGCGCGACGTACAACGCGTTGGACGAATACTTTTACGGGTCGTGGCCGCTCGCGACGCTGTGGCCGGGGTTGGACCTCGCCGTGATCGGGGACTTGGCGCACGCGGTGGACGCCGCGGACGACACGGAGAGGCGCGTCCTGTGGCGCGCGCTGGGGTCAGCGAAGAAGAGCGCGGGGGGCACCGGGGCGACGACGACGACGATTGCGAGCCAGACGAAGCGACGGAAGATCCGGGGCGTCGCGCCGAGGGACCTGGGGACGTCGCGCGACGCGCCGTTGACGTCGGCGCCGAACGCGCTCTCCGACGTCGACTCGAACGCGCTCTTGGACCTCGCGCCGAAGCTGATGCTTCTCGTCGCGCGCGCGCACGCGCTCAGAGGCGGGTTCAGGGGCCCCGAGGCGATGGCGTCGTTCGGCGGGGGTCTCGAGCGCGACGCGTTGCGACGGGTGTTCGAGCCCGCGTACCGGGCGCTCGCGACGCAACTCCGCGCGCGCGACTTGAACGGCGACGGGTTGCCCGAGCACGGCGACGCGGACGCGCCGACGCTGAGCGGGTACGATCGGTGGGTCGTCTCGGGGAACGCGTCGTCGTACGGCGGCGGGCTGTGGCTCGCGGCGTTGCGCGCGGGCGCGGGCATCGCGCGGGATTTAGACGAGACGGACGCGCGGACGAGCCTGGAAGAGACGCTGCGCATCGCGGCGAAATCGTTCGACGAAGCGCTGTGGCGCGGCGGCGGCGGCGGCGGCGGCGGCGGCGTTCGGAAGTCCCAGTCCCGGTCCCGCCGGGGGACCCACGCGTTGGAGGGGTACTACGCCGCGGACGCGAGCGGCACAGACGCGGGCGACGTCGTCCTCGCCGGGCAGGTCATGGGCGAGTGGGCGCTGGGGATGATCCGCGCCCCGGGGGTGTTGGATCCGAGAAAGGTTCGCGCGGCGCTCTCGACGACGTACGAGCGAAACGTGAAAGCGTTCGGTCGCGCCCGCGGCGGTTCCGGTTCCGGTTCCGACGACGAGCCGTCGACCTACGTGCCGTCGGGCGCGGTGAACGGCGCGCGCGTCGACGACGCGACCGACGCCGCCGCCCTCGGCGTCGGCGCGGGGGATGGCATCCCGGCGCAGGCGAGGGAGTCTCGAGTCGGTCAGTCGTACGCGCTCGCGTCGCACCTCATCCTCGCGGGGTTCTCGGACGAGGGGTGGGACGTCGCGCGCGGGGCGTACAGGGTGACGTACGAGGACGGGTTCGCGTTCCGCACGCCGGAGATATTCGACGCGGAGAGGCGGTTCCGCGGCGCGATCTCCGGTCGAGCCGGCGCGGTGTGGGCTATCGAGCGGTCGTTGGCGACGGCGGCGGCGCGCGCGCGGCGTTCGGAGGAGGCGAGGGCGGCGAGAGAGAAGGGAGACGACGCGACGCCCGCGGCATCGCGCGACGCGCGGGTCGAGGACAAGGACGAGCTTTGAATCGAGGAGGAGGTGGTGTAGGACGTAGCATCGGAGGAGGTAGTCGCGGGCGCGGCGGCGTTCGCGTTAGCTTGTAGTATGTATCTTTCGGCGTCGGGAGAGGAGAGTTTCGAAGCGACGCTTCTGTTCTTGAAAAAACGAAACGCGTCGTCTCGATTTTGTCTCATTGCGTGAAGTCCATATCCACAAATAAGTAAATACCTTCTACCCTGTACAACGCAGCGGGGACGATCGCACTTCGTGCGCACCGCCCCGGAATGTTCCTCCTAAGCATGCTGATTGGTTCCCTCTCAGGTTTCCCTCTCGCTCGGTCGCCTCTTTTTTGCTTTTATTTTAACCAAAAGGACCTCCGCGGCGAAGAGTTGAGATTCTCTGTCCGCATCATCCCGCCAAACAAATCCACACGACATCTTCCACCCATAACAACCACCCCTACCACGCGATCGCGATCGCTTACATGATAGAGCAGCCACCGCCACCCTGCGCCTTCTCCTTGGGCGGGCTCTTAACGGCCGCGGGCTTGGGCGGCGACTTCACGACGGGCGCGGCTTTCTTCTTGGCCACGCCCCCCTTCGCGGCGAGCGCCTTCGCACGCGGAGTCGTCGCGCGCGTCGCGGTGGTGGACGCGCCGGGGGACTTCGCGGGCGTAGCCTTCTTCGCGGGAGACTTGGCCTTCTTCGCAGCCTTCTTCGGGGCCTTCTTCGCGGGCGTGGCCTTCTTCGCGGGGGACTTCGCCGCGGCGGGCGCGGCTTTCGCCGGCGTGCTCCTCGTGGAGGCGCGGGGGGTCACCGGCGCGGGCGCCTTAGCGGGCGTCTTCTTCGCAGCCTTCTTCGGGCCCTTCTTCTTGGTGGAGCCGCCGCCCTTCTGGGGGGGCGCCTTCTTGGCCTATTTCGTCGGCGATGGCGGAGGGGCGGGGACGAGGGATCGTCAGCGATCGGAAAAGGACGATTTTGAATTCGCGGGCGCGTCGTGGTGTGTAATTCCCCCGCGCGGGGATAGGATCGGTCGAAATGCGCGCGCGCGTCCCGTTCGCGCGCGCGCGATGCGACGCGCGAACGGGACGCGACGCGCGTCGGAAACGATTCTCCGCGCGTATCGCGCGCGCGCGTCGCGATCGACGGACGCGCGCGCGGACGCCAGGCGAGCGTCGACGCGACTTAATCCCAATTCTCGCGTCGAGCGACAAATTGTCCTTTGGATTTTCACGATCAAAAGCGAAGCGCGCGATTCGCGTGTCGACGCGCGCGGCGGGCGGGACGCGCGCGAGCGTCACTCACGTTCTTCTTGGAAGCAGCCTTCTTAGCCATGATTCACGTGTGGTTTAATACGACACGAGAGTTGCGCTCGGGGTTGTGTCGAGCCGTTCGGACGCGAGGATGCTTTTCCTGTCACGAACTTGGGCGCCGTCGCCAACGAAAATTAAATTTTGCAGCGCGAAAAAAACCGTTACTCGGCGAAAACTACTCGTATGTCCGTATGTGTTTTTAGTCAGCAAGAATATCAAAGACGAAGATTTCCGACCAATCACCTAGCCGCGCTGGCGTGAAATTTCAGTCACTCGTGCGGGGCGCCTTCGGCCACCTGGACCGATTCGGCGCGCGCGCGACGCATTCGCACGCACGCACGATGGCCATGAACGCCATGACTTTCCGCGCCGCAGTCGTCGGCTCCGCGCCGAGCTCCAAGCTCCTCAAGAGCTCGCGCGTCGCGTCCTCCGCGAAGGTCAGTCGCGATCGCGTCCGTCGATCGCCCTCTTCGATCTCACATTAATCCGAGCAGAACGCCAGTTGTTTAATCGCCGCGCGGAATAATCCGTCCGATCCGACGGTTCGATCCGATCGCGCTTCGCTGACTTCTCTCGCCCTCTCTCCACCGCCGCCCGTAACAGCCCACGGCGATCGTCTCTTTCTTCGGGAAGAAGGAGCCCGCGCCGAAGAAGGCTGCGGTCCGCGGCCTGAACGGCCCGACGAACCGCCCGAAGGTTGTCGTCGCGAAAGGGAAGGAGCTCACGGGCTCGGCCGCGAAAGCCGCCAAGGCGAAGCCGATGTTCGACTTCTCTTCCAAGCCGAAGCCGGTCGTCAAGGCGAAGCCGAAGCCGAAGCCGAAGCCGGTCGCGAAGAAGGCCTCCAAGCCCATGTTCGGGACCGCGAAGAAGGCCAAGCCGATCGCGAAGAAGGCGTCGGCGTCCAAGCCGTTGTTCTCGTTCGGCGGCTCCGGCGCCGCGAAGAAGACGAAGCCGAAGGCGACGATGAAGAAGAGCTCCCCCGCGTCGAGCTACACGATCAAGAAGACCCCGTTCACCGCGAAGAAGTCGGCGACGACGTTCAAGACGGTGCAGCCGAAGAAGGTGGTCGCGAAGCCGGCGGCGGCGAAGGCGTCGGCGCCGAGAGCCGCGAGCGCGGCGAAGTACGACAGAGACCTCGTCGAGAACTACGGGCTCGTCCCTATCTTCGCGGGGACGTTCTTGCTCACGTACGCGGTCTTCCCCGCGGTGATCGAGAACTTCTTGGAGGTTGTCGGCATCGGGTACTCCGCGTACTTCGCGTACTCGTACTACACCTCCCCGGAGGCGCGCGCTAACTTTGGACAGACGCTCGACAAGGTGGATGAGGATTTCGGCCTCGACTTGAGGAGCGTCGCCGCGGGCGCTGGGGACATCGCGAACAAGACGTCGAAGCAGCTCGCGGAACAGGCGGAGAAGAACGCGGAGGCGGCGGCGAAGAAGAAGCTGGAGGATAAGAAGGCGGCGGAGAAGCTCGCCGCGGACACGATCAAGGCGGCGGGGAAGGCGGCGGAGAAGGAAAAGGAGGCGTGATCCGATCGTCGCGAAAATGCAACGCGATCGCGACGTCTCTTAATCTAGCACAGGAGGCGTCGCGTCGGAGCTAGAGAACGATACAACGCATGTACACGACGCGGAGCTGGAGTTAGCTCGTTTTTATAATAAGGTGAGGGTAAAAGCACCGCACGAAACGACCGCTCCCCTCTCCCGCCGCCGCCGCCAAACGAATCGACGCGTCGTTCACTTCGCCCACGCCGCGGACTCCGCCTTGAGCGCCGCGACCCTCGCCTCTAACCCGACCGCGCTGTCCGGCACCCCCTCGGACGACAGAAGGTCGAGCACCTCGCCGACGTCCGGCCCTTGCATCCGCCCCGTGAGCGCGATCCTCACCGGCATGAACAGACGCTTCCCCTTGCGGTCGAGCGTCTTCCCGATCCCGTTGACAAACTTCTTGAAGTCGTTCGCCTCGATCGCGGCCGCGAGCTCCCCGGACTCGAACCCGGCGATCACCGCGTCCGCGATCTCCCCAAAGTCGTCCTCGAGAACTTTCTTCATCTTCTCGTCCGAGACGTTCCCGGCGAGGTCGTACGCGAGGATGTCCCTCACCTCCTTCGCCGCGTCTTCCACGAGTTCGATCCCGTTGGCGCACAGCTTCACCGCTTTCTTCACGAAATCGCTGTCCGCGCTCGCGGCGAGGCCCTCGTTCACGAGGACGGCGCCGATCATGGCGACTTGCTCCTCCTCCGGAAGCAAGCGAATGTGCTGGCCGTTCATCCAGTTCAGCTTCACGACGTCGAACACCGCCGGCGACTTGTTGATCCGATCCGTGCTGAACACCTTCACGAGCTCCTCGGTCTCGTAAATCTCCTGCTCCGTGCCGTCGTTCCACCCGAGGAGGGACAGGTAGTTGATCATCGTCTTGTTCAGGTACCCCTGGTCTTTGAACTGCCCCACGGACGTCGCGCCGTGACGCTTGGAGAGCTTCGAGCGATCCGGCGCGAGGATCAGGGACATGTGCCCAAACTTGGGCCGCGGGAACTTGAGGGCGTCGTACACGAGCGCTTGCCTCAGCGTGTTCGGAAGGTGCTCCTCCGCGCGCAGAACGTGCGTGATCCCCATCGTCGCGTCGTCGACCGCGACGCAGAAGTTGTACACCGGCAAACCGTTCGAGCGAAGAAGCACAAAGTCACCGAGCGTGTCCGTGTCCCATCCAACCTTCCCGCGGATCATGTCGTCGATCTCGATGCGTTCGCCCTCGGGGACCCTGAACCTGTACACGAACGGCGTCCCCTTCGCCATCTCCGCGTCCACCTCCTCCTCGCTCGCGGTCGCCCACTTCCCCGTGTACTTCGGCGGAAGCTTCTTCGCCTCTTGCTCCTCTTTCATCATCGTCAGCTCTTTATCCGTGCAGAAGCACGGGTACGCGTGTCCCTCCTCCACGAGCTGCATCGCGAGCTGCTTGTAGATCGCCTGCCTCTCGGACTGGCGGTACGGGCCGTAGGGCCCGCCGCAGTCCGGCCCTTCGTCCCAGTCGAGGCCGAGCCACTTCAGGTCTCGGACCATCGCGTCCTCGGACTCTCTCGTCGACCGCGCCTGATCGGTGTCCTCCACGCGCAAGATGAGCTTCCCGCCGAGGTTGCGCGCGTAGAGCCAGTTGAACAGCGCCGTGCGCGCGCCGCCGACGTGGAGGTTCCCGGTCGGCGACGGCGCGAAGCGCACGCGGACGGTGCCGTCCTGCGGGGGCACCTTGATGTCGATCTTCTCCTCGGTCGCGACCGCCCCGCTGGAGACGACGGATCGCGCGCCGCTCGTCGTCCGCCGAGCGAAGAGGCCGGATCCGCGGCGGAGCATCGACGGGGATTTCACGCGCGCGCCGAGGGCGACCGCGCCGTGCAGCGCATGCGCGCTGAGCATGAACGCCGACATTGTGATCGAGCGCTGCGGCTCGTGCGGGTGATGGGCGTGCGGGCGTGAACGCGCCGTCGGGAGTGAGCGCGGCGTCCAACCAAACAAACCTTTCGGAAAAATCTCGCCAAAAGACCCGAGAGATCTCCTGCAGGTTGGATAAGACGCCGCCGCGGGTACTGTTTTATTTCGTATGGACGCCAGTCAGGCGTGTGGGGGTCGCGTACTCGTACTGCACGACACCGAAAAAAAATATTCGCGGCCGTAGCGCGTTCCCTTCTCCGACGCTCGGCGAGGTTGGCGCCGTCTCCGCCGTCTCGCGCACTCCTCATGAGCGCCGCGGCGACGGCCTCGGGGCCGAGGGCGGCGGCCGCGCCGCGCGCGTGCGCGACGTCCCACCGCGGGCGCGGAGCGACGCCTTGGACCATCGCGACCGCGCGCGCGACGCGCGTCGTTCCCCGCGCGCCGCGCAGCGTCGAAGAGACGGATCGAGTCGTCGTCGTCGTCGTCGAGGAGGCGCGCGAGGCGCGCGAGACGCGCGAAGCGGACGACGACGCGGACGACGCCGAGGCGGCGCGACCGGCGTCCAGCGCCGCCGACGAGACCGCGGTCGCGAGCGCGAGCGCGAGCGCGAGCGCGAGCGCGGACGCGCGCGCGTGGGCGGTCGGCCTCGCCGCCGCGGTCGGCGTCGGCGTCGCCTCGCTCGCGATCGACCCGTCGTCGTTCCCGCGCGCGCCATCGTCGCCGCCGTCGTCGCCGCCGTCGTGGTCGTGGTCGTCGTCGTCGTCGCGCGGCGCGCGCGTTCAGGCGACGACGCCGACGACCGGGCACCCCGCGGGGGCGACGTGCGGCACGTTCAGCGCCGCGCGGACCGCCGTCGCGCGCGACGTCCTGACGTGCAACCAGGACAACTGGGAGGCGGGGTGCCTGTCGCACTACTCGGAGGACGTGACGTACGTGGACGGGCCGGGGCTGACGAACGTCCGCGGGAAAGACGCGATGGCGAGGTACCTGAAGAACCAGTTCGACTTCAGCCGGCAGTATCTCACCGTGAGCGACGAGACGTGCGTGGGCGACACGTACGTCGCGCGGTGGAGCCTGGACATGGACTTGGGCACCGGCAACTTGAGAGGCATGCCGGGGATCAGCGTGTTGAAGTTCGCGACGGAGACGGACGAGGACGCGGCGGGCGAGGGAGGCGGCGCGGAGGGCGCGGAAGGCGCGGAGGGCGGCGGAGGAGGAAGCGGCGGCGGCGCGTCCGACGCGGCGCGAGCGACCGCCGCCGGCGCCGGCGGCGCGACGGGGGACCGAAACGCGGTGCGGTATCACCGCGACTACCTCCCGGACGGGAAGATATGGGAGAACGCCCCGGTCGTCGGGCCGCTCGTGAAGTTTCAGAGGGCGACGTACACCGCGTGCATGCTGTCCGAGTCGGGGTGCGCTGATTTATTAGGGGCGCCGAAGTAGAGGCGCCGCGCCGCGTGCTGTACTGAACTCGTCATAGTTTTGGTTCTCGCTCGCGTTACGTTCGTCGCCAAACGCGATCGCGCGCGCTTCCGCGATGCCGAAGCGCAAAGCGTCCGCGGCGGAGTCCGCGGCGGCGGCGCCTCCCGCGCCTCCCCCCGATACCGACGACGACGGCGGCGACGTCGCGTCGTGGGGCCATCGCGAATGCGTCGCGTGGCTCTCGACGCTCCCAGATGAGCTCGGCGTGAACGTGAAAGGATTCGCGCGCGCGTGCGAGGGCGGCCAGATCACGGGCGCGCAGCTGCTGTACGCGAGCGAGTCCACGCGAGAGCTTCGCGACAGCCTCGGTTTGAAGTCGCCGTCGAAGCGCGTGTGGTTCGAGCGGTTCCTCGCGGAGGCGAACGAAGGCGGCGGCGTGGACGACGACGACGAGGACGAGGAGGACGAGGACGACGATGTCAACGTCAGTTCCTCGGACGACGGAGACGACGACGACGACGGCGGCTCGTCGGGGGACGACGCGCGAGGGTCCGCGCCCCCGACCGCTGGTCCAGCGTCCAAGCTAACGCGCGCGGCGCTCGACGAGACCGCGCGCGCGGCGCTCGACGCGCTCGACGCGGCGCCGCCGGGCGCGGCCGGGGGACTGTTTAGCGACGAGTGGCTGCGGAGAGTCGCGCCGTGCTTCGACGCGACGATGGGCGCGGAGAACTTGGGCACGTTTCTGTACGGGCTGGTTCGGTTCTTGAAGCCACAATCCATTCTCGAGATCGGCGGCGGGTACACCTCCGTGTTCATGCTGCAAGCGTTGGCGGATAATGATTTGGAGATGGAGGCGACGAAGTCGAAGATGGACGTCGACGGCGTCGTCTCGGGATTGCCGCCGGATTGGTACGGGAACAAAGGGTTGCGTGTACACGAATGGTTTAAGTTAAGGCGACACTACTATGGGGAGAACCCAACGCTGCATTGCGTGGACGACATGAGCCATTCGCACTGCACCGCCAGGTCGGTGATGCGTGTCGCGAAGTCTCTCTGTCTGGACAAGCATTTGAATGTGCACGTGAAAAACGCGTGGCGGAAAGGGCCAGTGTTAGAGAAAATAGTTTTCGCTGACCTCCTGTGGGTGGACTTTGGCGTCGGCAATCGACTGAGTGAGTTCCTGGAGATGTACTGGAAGTGCCTGCATAATGGATCATACATCGTGATTCACTCCACGGTGACGAACAAAGTGACGCGCGAGTGGTTGGAGCGCGTCCGAAAGTTGAATGGCGGCGAGGGGAGCGTTTTCCCGAGCTTCGGGAAGAAAGGCTCGTCGACCGAGGGCCAACGGGTGCATCACGTGTCGTTCTGGGAGCCGCACAAGTCATACCAGAACTCGTTCACGGTGCTACAGAAGCGGGTCGAGGGTCTGACCCCTGAACCCATTTACTCGGAACACGCGTAGTGCAGAGAAGCGAAGAGAAGCTGGGCGTAGCGATAGCGTCACTGAAACGAAACGAGCACCTCAAAATCACTGACCCGCTCATAACCAGTCGCCATTAACACACGCCGCCGCCCACGCGGATCTCGCGCCCGGCTTCCCCGCGATGGGGAAGAAGGACTCCGTGAGCGGGTCGCTCAAAGCGATCGCGAACGCGGCGAAGAGCAAAGGCTTGCAAAAGCTGCGATGGTACTGCCAAGTCTGCGCGAAGCAGTGTCGCGACGAGAACGGATTCAAGTGCCACTGCACGTCCGAGGCGCACCTTCGGCAGATGGAGATCTTCGGGATGAACCAGGGCAAGTTCGTCGCGGAGTACAGCAGAGAATTCCAGAGAGACTTCCTCAACTTGCTCGCCATCTCGCACCGAAACTCGCGCGTCGCCGCGACCGTGATCTACAACGAGTACATCAGCAACAAGACGCACGTGCACATGAACAGCACGCGGTGGACGTCGCTGACGGGATTCATTCAGCACCTCGGGAGGGAAGGGATCTGCGAGATCGACGAGACCCCGAAAGGGTGGTTCCTGATCTATCGCCCCGAGGACAAAGAGGAGAAGATGCGCCAGGCGATGAAAGCGAAGCGCGAGCGCGCGGAGGAGGACGAAGAGGAGCGCGCGGCGCGTCTCATCGCGGAGCAGATCGAGCGCGCCAATCGAAACCTTCCCGACTCGGCGAAAGTCGCCGCCGCCGCGACGGAGCTCAAACGCGGCGACGACGACGCGCACATGAAGCTGTCCATAGCGAACAAACGCGTCAAGACGGACGTCGGCGCCCTCGCGCTCGCGGGCGCGGCCGGGGACGCGAACGCGCTGGACGTCTTCAAGAACGCGCAGAGGGTCGCGTCCGACGCCGCCGCGGGGCTCGCGTCCAAACGCGCGGGCGCCAAGCCCTCCGCGCTCCAGGAGATCATGCGGCGCGGGATCGCGGCGAAGGAAGCGCACGCGGCGACGCCGAATCCGAACCCCGGCTCCGACGCCGCCGGGACGAGCGGCGGCAGCGCCGGGGACGACGCGCCGTGGCTCAAGAGAGGGATCGTCGTGAAGGTCCTGTCCAAGGCGCTGAAGGGGATCGGGCTGTATAAGAAGAAGGGCGTCGTCCTCGCGACGCACGACGGCGGGTTCGTGGGCGAGATCGAGGCGATCGAGACCGGCGATCGCGTGCGCGTGGACCAGACCGAGCTCGAGACGGTGCTGCCTTCCATCGGCGGGCGCGTGCTCGTGTTGAGAGGCGGCGCGGGGGTCGTGAACAGAGAGGCGAAGCTGACGGGGATCGACGCGGACGCGTACAAGGCGACGGCGGAGATGACGGACGGACCGGAACGCGGGAAGACGTTCGCGTTCGATTACGAGGACGTGTGCAAGCTGTCCTCCTCGGGTCCTCGGTGACGCGAACGATGCATACGACGATGACGACGATAGGTAGCATTAGCGTCGGATTCGAATGAATTAAAACCTACAAGGTATCGTACTGTATGTGACGCGTCAATTTCTGTCAGTAATAGCATCTTCTTCGACGTCGCGTCGTCGTCGACCTCGCGGTCATCACTCGACCCACACGCGCGCGATCGCCGTCGCGGGCATCATCGCCGCCTCCTTCGTCCCGTCCATCTTCATCACGCACTCGCCCTCGTCCACGGAGATGACCACCGCGGTGGCACCGCGCGGCTGCTCCTCCCCGGACGTCACCACGACAACGTTGTCCTTCTTCTGCGCGGGCGCCAGCGTCAACACGCTCTCGGGCACCGTCTCCATCGCACTCGCAGACGTGAGCGCGTCCAGGGTGACGACGCCGTTCGGGAGCGTCTTCGTCGTCCCGATCGCGACGACCACGGCGCCGTTCTTCCGCGCGCGGACGACGCCCTGTCTCCCGTCCGGGAGAGAGACGACCGCCTTGGTGACGAACACGCCGGCGTACCCGGCGTCCGGGTCCGACGACGGCGCGGGCGCCGACGCCGTCGACGGCGCGTCGTCGTCCCATCCGCCGCCGCCGACGCCGCCGTCGTGGTGCGGCGTCGCCGGGTTCCACGCGCTGTCGCGCAGCGGGGTTCTGCCGCCCGCGCCGTCGTCGCGCAGCGGCGTGACGGAGCCGATGCCGTCGCCGTACGCGGGCGTCCGCGCGTACTCGCGCATCGGCGTACGCGCGGGCGTCGGCGCCGTCGCGGGCGCGGCGGGCTGGTACGCCGCCGGCGCCGCGGCGGCGCCGCCCCACGGCGGCGCCGCGCTCGGCATGACGATCTGGTTCCGCTGCACCGTGACCGTGCGCGCTTGCGCTTGGAGCTCCACGCGGACGGTCGTCTCCGTCGCGTCCACGACCTTGCCCTTGTACCCTTTGTACACCCCCGCGCTGACTTTGATCGTCGTCCCGACAAGCGAGTTGTCGCGCCTCCCGACGGGGCCGCCGCCGAACCGCCCGGCGCGCGGCGCGTCCTGCATCTGCATCGGTTGCTGGCGCGCCGCGGGCGAGCGGAGCAGCGCGGCGCCGGGGGACTGCGGCGCCGCGGCGAACCCGCCGGCTCTGTTGGCGTCGTTTCCGCCGTCTTTGCTCTTGGAGCCGTCGACGCGGCAGCTCCGCGCCTTGACCGCGACGATGCCGCCGAAATCTGCGACATCGCCGCGAACCTTCCCCCACAGCGTCCCTCGGTTGATGTGCTTCACCGTGAGCCGCATCCCTTTCCCCGGGCCGTCGACGATCCTCACCATCGACCCGTTCTCGATCGTCTCCATCCCGGCGTCCGAGGCGGTGACCCTCCTATCCATGAGCTTCCGACGCATGTCGTGGAGCTTAACCGGGCGGACGTCCGGTCGATCCGCGGTGCTGCTCGCCATCATCACCATCGCGGCGTCCTTCTCCACTCTGACGATCATCCCGACGGCGGAAGATTCGAGCTGGACGAGGTCGTGGATCGTGAAAACCCCGATGCTCTCGACTCTTCTGGTGACCTCTTTGCTGTCCGCGAGGTCTTGCGAGAACACGAGGAACTCCTCCTGCTTGACGTCGGAGAACACCGTCGTGACTTGCCCCTCCACTTTCACGACGAGACCAGACTCGCCGTCGTGCACGCCGTGCACGCACCGCACGTGCGACCCAACCTTGAAGTACTTCCTCAACGTCTGCTTGTCCACGTCGATGTCTTCGTGGATGTCGTCGTGCGTCGGCGTGATCTTCACGGAGCCGTCCGCGTTGTCGTGCACGACGACGCCGGTGAGGTTGACGAGGTCTCCGTCGACGCAGATGACGTGATCGCCGGGGAGGAAGTTCTGCTCCCTCTTCGCGGCGCCCTCCAGGGAGCTCGCGAGCGCCTCCAAGTTCGCCGCCGCGTTCGCTCTGCCGCCGTCGCTCGTCTTCGCCTCCGTCGCCTCCTCGCCCGTGGAGAATCGCTGGAGCTCGTCCAACGCCGGCGCGTCCGCCAGCTTGCACGACGCGAGAGAGATCGTCTTGACGTAGTACCCGTCCATGAGCTTATGCTGGCCGCACAGGACGTCCACGTTCGCGCGCATGCGACGGTCGTGCCTCGAGCGCTCCAACGGGAGGTTGTACTTCGCGGACATCGCCTCGGTGAACAGACGCGCGGGCGGCCGCAAGTTGGCCTTCTTTCGACCCTGGTGCGTCCCCTCCTCTTTCGCCTGAAGGTGCGCGTAGTCAAAGCGAGGGACGAGCTTTACCGTGCACTGGTTGTCCGCGAAGTTCACGTCCACGATCTTCGCGAGGTCGCCCTTGTACGCACCGCCGCGCATGCGCACCCACGACCCCATCTTGATGTTCGACACCTTCTTCTTCGTCACGGTGACGGACTCCACCATCTCCGCGATGGGCACGAGCTTGATCGGTTTCGAGTGGTACACGTGCCGTAGTCCCGCCAGCGCCTTCTTGACGTGGTCCTCGCGCTCGGCTTCGACGTACACGTAGGACTTGAGGTGATCCTGAACGACCGCGGACTTGATCGCCATGGCGCCCTTCCCGGATCTGTGCAGGTTGATCGCCTTCTGCATGAGGCACACGACCACCTCGCGTTCCTTGCCCTGCTTCACCGTGACCAGCCACAGCTTCGGGTCCCGCACCGTCGGGTGCAGCGCTTGCTGGTCCACCTCCGTGCCGATCCCGACGTCGCCGTAGTCCGCGGCGGCGCGGTGCGCGGCGTACCGCTCCTTGAGCGCCGCCTCGAGCTCCTCCTCGTTCTCCATGCGTTCCATCCGTTCGAGGTTTTCATACCTCGCGTGCACGCGTTGTTCCGCCTCGCGCATCACCGCCTCCCGCTCCTCCTCGCCGAGGTCCTCGTCGATGTCGTCGCCCTCGTCGTCCTCTTCCTCGTCGTCGTCCTCGACGTCCGCCATGTCGTCGATGAACATGTTCCCGCCGGGCCTGCCGTCTTTGCCGGACTTCTTGCCCTTCTTTTTCTTCCTCTTCCTCGCGCCGTCGTCGTCGTCGTCGTCCGCGACGTCGTCCACGAACTGGTTCCGCGATCGCTTCTTCTCCTTCTCCTTTTTCTTCGCCGCCTTCTGCGCCTTCGCTTTCGCCGCGGTCATGATCTCGCCGTCGTCGGAGCCGTCGCCGTCGTCGTCGCCCGCGGGCTCCGCCTTGACTTCGCCGTCCTCGTCGTCGTCGGACGCGGCGGCGGGCTTCTTCGGCTTCGCGGGCTTCTCGTCCTCGTCTTCCTCGTCCTCGTCCTCCTCCTCCTCCTCCTCGTCGTCATCCTCGTCGTCGTCCGAGGCGTCGTCGTCGGACCCGGACTCGTCTTCGGACCCGACGTTCGCGTCGTCGTCGTCGTCGTCGCCGGATTCGCCGCCCGATTCCCCCGCCTCCTCGGATTTCTTCTTCTCCTCGGCGTCGTCCTCCTTCACGCGCGGCTTCTCCTCGGCCGCGGTCTCCGCTTCGGCGTCGCTCATTTTGTTTCAAAAAACGAAACGCCGCGGATCGATCGTCCTCGTTGCCCGCGTCGCGACCGTTGATGTCCTCCGCCGGCGCGCAGATCGGCTCTGATCGCGACCCTCGTAGATCGCCTTGTGCTGCCGGCAGAGTCTGGTCCGCCGGAAAAATTTGGTCGCGCGGCGCGGCTCGACCGATGAGATTTTCGGTTTGAACGCTTTCGAACGTCACGTATGAAACGCCCGCGGTTGAAAGGGCCGTCGGTTCTAACGAAATCTGGTTCATTCGACGACGCACGGGATGCCGACGGTCCTGTGCGTCGCGGAGAAGCCGAGCCTCGCGGCGTCGATCGCGGGGTTCCTCTCCGACGGGACGCACAAGACGCGCAGGGGCGGGCAGGACGTCCACGAGTTCGTCCGCGTCTACGACGGCCAGCGATGCGACTTCAAGGTGACCGCGGTGTGCGGGCACGTCCTCTCCATCGACTTCCCCGACAAGTACCAAGACTGGGACGTCGACCCGGGCGCGCTCTTCGACGCGCCCGTGGTGAAGAAAGAGGCGAGCCCGGGAGCGCGCGTGGTGTCGCACTTGGAGCAAGAGGCGAAGGGCGCGACGCATCTCGTGCTGTGGCTCGACTGCGACCGCGAGGGCGAGAACATCTGCTACGAGGTCGTCGACGCGTGCGTCCCGCGCATGCGCCCGCCCCCGGGCGCGGCGAGGGACGACTACGTCAAGCGCGCCAAATTCAGCGCGGTGAGCAAGGAGTCCATCGAGCGCGCGATGGCGACGCTCGGGACGCCGAATCGACACGAGGCGATGGCGGTCGACGCGCGACAGGAGCTCGACCTCAAACTCGGCGTGGCGTTCACGCGGTTCCAGACGCGCTACTTCCGAGGCAAGTACGCCGCGTTGGACGCGTCCGTGGTGTCGTACGGGCCGTGCCAGACGCCCACGCTGAATTTCGCGGTGGAGCGTCACCTCGACATCGCGAAGCACGTCCCGGAAGACTATTGGGTGCTGTGCGTGACCGCGCGGTCGACGGAGACGGACGAAGTCGTCGCGTTGCGTTGGAACCGCGAGAGGGTGTTCGACCGAGACGCCGCTGAGCTGTTCAAGAGACTGGTCGTCGACGACGCGCGCGCGAACGGCGTCGCGCTCACCGCGTTCACGCGCACGGAGGAGAAACGCCCGAGGCCGAGCGGTTTAAACACCGTGGAGATGTTGAAAGCCGCGTCCGCCGGTTTAGGCATGGGCGCGCACGCCGCGATGCAGGTCGCGGAGCGGCTGTACATCTCCGGGTTCATCTCGTACCCGCGGACGGAGAGCACCGCGTACCCGCCCGGTTTCGATCTGAGAGGGACGCTGAGCGCGCAGAGACACCACCCGGCGTGGGGCGAGCACGTCGCGGAGCTTCTCGACGGCGGCGCGATGACGCGGCCGCGCGGCGGGAAGGACGAGGGCGACCACCCGCCGATCGCGCCGACGCGCTCCGCGACTTCGGAGCGCGTCGGCGGCGGCGACGCGTGGCGTCTGTACGACTTCATCGCGCGGCACTTCATCGCGTCGTTGTCCCCGGACTGCGCGTACGACGTCCAGCGCGCGTCGTTCGCGTGCGGCGGCGAGGGGTTCGCGGTCGTCGGGCAGAGCGTGATCGAGCCCGGGTGGACGAAGATGATGCCGTGGCGCGCGATCGAGGAGGACCCTCTCCCGGAGCTTACCCCCGGCGCGAAGCTCGCGATCGCGGGCGTGGAGTTGACGACGTCGCAGACGTCGCCGCCACCGTACCTCTCCGAGAGCGATCTGATATCGCTCATGGAGAAGAACGGCATCGGGACGGACGCGTCGATACCCGCGCACATCAACAACGTGGAGAAGCGGGGGTACGTGAAGATCGGCGCCGGTCGGAGGGTCGTGCCGACGGATCTGGGCGTCACGCTGACGCGCGGGTACCACGCGATCGACCCGGACCTCGCGCTTCCGTCCATGCGCGCGAGCGTGGAGAAGCAGCTGGATTTGATCGCGAGCGGGGAGGCGACGCACGCCGCGGTCGTCGCGCACGCGTTGAAGCAGTTCGCCGCGAAATTTCACAACTTCGTCGCCAACGTCGACAGGATGGACTCCCTGTTCGAGGCGCACTTCTCCCCGAGCGCGAGCACGGAACGACCGTTTAGCAAGTGCGGGTCGTGCTGCCGGTACTTAAAGCTCGTCACGACGACGCCGCAGCGGCTGTACTGCGCGACGCAGGAGGCGGTCTACGACCTCCCCCCGGGGGTCGTGAAGTTGTACCACGGCCGCGAGTGCGTCCTGTGCGGGTTCGAGCTCTTGTTGCTCACGTCCGGGGACCGCACGTACCCGCTGTGCCCGTACTGCTTCAACCACCCACCGACGGGGATGGGTCACGGCGCGCGCGCGCCGCGACGTCTCGTGAGCGGGTGCCCGCACCCGAGCGCGCACCCGATCGTCGCCGAGCTCAGCACGGGGCCGTGCCCCGAGTGCGACCCCGACGACGACGCGGTCCTCCTCGTCGAGCCCGTCGGCGGCGCGCGCCACAAGCTCGTCTGCTCCGAGTGCACGCTGCTCGTGAAGTTTTCGGAGGAGCTCACGCACAAGGTGTGCGCGACGGAGTACGAGTGCGGCGGATGCGGCGGTCCGTGCGTGGAGGTGACGTACAAGAGAGAGAAGACGCCGTTGGCGGGCGGGGAGACGAGACACGTCGCGTGCGTCGCGTGCGACGACCTTCTGCGCTCGCAGATCACGCTCTCGAGAGGACGCGGAGGGGGCGGGAGAGGGAGAGGGAGGGGGCGGGGTGGGAGGGGCGGACGAGGCGGGCGCGGGGGGAGGAAACCCGCGAGCGAGCGCGACCAAAAGATGAGCTTCAAGGAGTTTTGAGTCGGTAGATAGACGGGTAGGAGGACATAAGTCGCGTCGTCTCTAGCCGGCGACCGCGCGTTCGATTTTAGTTTTAGGGGGTGGTACACGAGACACGCGCGCGCGAATGAGGCGCGCGCGACGACGCGAGGTCCTGTTCGTCTGACGTCGTATTTAGACGCCGCTCTCGAGCGGGCTCCAGGCGAGGCGATCTAGTATCGCTTCGCTCTCGAGCCGGTCGACTACCGCCCACATCACGCCGCCGCCTGACGAATAACCCCCAACCCAACCTCGAGGCGAACTCACTTGAGCGCCTTCTTGATGAGGGCGCTGCGCTTCACGCGCGCCACCATCACCTTGTACCGGTCAAAGTCCGTGAGGTTCTTGCGCGCGGCTTGTTTCGCGATCTTCTTACCCCACGCGCTCGCCGCCCACTGACCTTCCACGTCCGCGGTCTTCATCGCCGCCGCCAGAGTTTCCTTGCTGGGGGACTTCTCTTCGTTGAGGTCGACGACGAGGGACGTGAGCGCGAGGCGTCGGAGAGACATCACGCGGCGGTCCACGCCCGGGGCGTCGACGAGAACCTGGATCGAGAGAGAGGGGAGGGCGGGGGACGGGTCGCGCGTCAGTCCGGGCGGTCTCCAGGGGACGAGCGGAGCGCGGGATCGGGCGCGGCGTGGGGCGACCGCGCGCGCGGAGAACGCTCCGCGAAGCGCCCACCGCCGCGCGCGCCGCCGAGGAAGCGCGCGATCGCGCGGAGGCGAGCGTCTCCCCCCGCGCGAGGAGGAATCGCGCGCCCACGCCGACGGCTTAGGGTTTTCCGCATCCGACGCGCGGACGGGCGCGACGACGGCGGACACGCGACGCGATTTCGAGGGCGCCGAGCGCGGTAACGTACCCGGTTCATGTCGACGAAGTCGACGATGACGACGAGCTTGCCGTACAGCGCATCCGCGGCGAGGTTCACCAGCGCGACGCGCCCGAGCTCGATGTTGCGCTGCGGGATGAGACGGAGGCGGAGGAGGGAAAAGATTCGTCAGAACGCGCGTCGGACGAGGCGGCGTGGCGTTCGACGCGAGACGCGATCGCGCGGGAAACGACGCGGGCACGGGGCGTGGACGCACAGTGAAAGGCATGGTGACGTCCTGTTACGAGGAAGCGTCGACTGCGCTTGTCTAAGAGGGATGGCGAGCGCAGCACCGCGTGGTTTTATAGCGAGCTCGGGAAGAAGAGCGGCGCGACCGAGCGAAAATACGGTAGGTTATGGGACGAAAGTCGTTTTTCACCCACCGGAGCATCAACATTTTGTTACGCGCGGGCTCACTCCTCTCGCACCGCGGGACGCGTCGCGCGTCATGCGGCGTCGCGGCGCGGCGTCGCTCGCGGCGACCGTCCTGCTGACGCTCCTCGCGTCCGTCTCCGCCGCGGCGTCGGACGGCGTCGGCGTCGGCGTCGGCGTCGCGTCGTCTTCCGCCGCCTCCGTCGCGCGCGGCGAGTCGAGATCGAGATCGACGTCCAACCCGCGCGTCGACGCGGCCTCCTCGTCCGCCGCGCCGACGCCGACGCCGACGAACCACCGCGCGGCGGGCGCGAGCGGGCTCTCGCCCCTCGGCGGCGCGACCGCGACGCCCCCGACGCGGTTCACGTCCGACGACGAGGCGCACTTCAGCGAGCGCCTCGTCGCGATGATGCGGAGGCCGTGCGAGGCGTACGCGCGGAACGTGCTGGACGAGCCCGCGCTGCACATGCAACACGCGACGATCATCTTCCTTCGTAACAAGTGCGCGAAATCGCCGCCTCACGCGCGAACGCGGCCGTCGAGCGCGTGCGCGGAGCTCGCGAACGCCGTGGGGATCGACATGACGCACGCGGAGGCGTCGAGCGCGCTGAAGCAGCTCCTGCACGAGCGGTGCCAGCACGAGGCGATATTGCTCTCGAAAGCCGACGACGCCAACGGCGCGGACGCGGCGACGTTCTTAGTCAAAGACACCGTCCGAAGGGTCGCGGAGGAGGAGCAAGAGTTGCGGGACTTCAGCGGCGCGCCGACTGACCGCGAGGAGATGGAAAAACGCCCGAGGGTGCCCACGGACGCGACGGGAGAGCCGATGATATTAGGAGAAGCCGCGGGCGCCGCTCGCGACGACGACGACGACGCGCGGTGCGACGCGGGTGACGGCGGCGACGACGCGCGGCGGTGCCGAGCGAAGCGCGGCGAGAACGCGCGCGACGACGACGACGGCGACGTCGGCGGCGACGCGTCGCGCCGGAACGCTCGCGGCGGCGCGGCGGGAGCGACGGGGACGGGGACGGGGACGGGGACGGGGACGGGAGGCGCTCGCGCGAAACCCGCGATGTGGGGCTGGGACGGCCCCGACGACGAGGACCTCGCGTTCGACGTCGACGCGTTCGACGTCGACCAAGTCGCGGAGACGAGACGCGTCGAGCGCATGGTGCTGACGGACTTGTATCGAACCACGGAGGGGAGCCGGTGGTACCGCCAGCGCGGGTGGCTCTCGCGAGAGACGCACTGCGCGTGGGAGGGGGTGACGTGCTTGCGAAGGAGCGACCCGTTCGGGGTGCTTTCGTTGGAGCTTCGCGACAACGGCCTCGCCGGGCCGCTGCCGCAGACGCTCGCGCGTTTGCACAAGCTCAGGAATTTGGACTTGCGGGATAACGCTCTTCGAGGGAGCGTTTCTTCCGCATTCGGGTCGATGACGAAGCTGAAAGTCCTCCTACTTAAAGGAAACGCCGTGAACGGGAAGCTCCCGAAAGAACTCGGCGGCGCGGCGGGCTTGACGCAGGCTGACCTGAGCGCCAACGCGTTCATCGGCGCGATGCCAGCGGACCTCGGCCGTCTGAGCAACCTCCGCATGCTTAACGTGTCGCACAACGGGCTCAGCGGCGAACTCCCGCACCGTCTCTGCGGCGCGCCGTCCCTCGAGGTGTTATCCGCGTCCAAGAACCGCATCCGCGGCGGTCTCGAGCGGTGCGGCGCGGCGCTGGACGCTCGCGGCGCCGCGTCGACGATGCGTCTGTTCGACGCGTCCGAGAACAATTTCGACGGCGAGCCTCCCGCGGCGCCGTCGCGGTCGGGCTCGCTCGCGATATGGGACGTGTCCGGGAACGCGCTGACGGGGACGATCCCGAATCGCGCGCCGCCGCGGAGCTTGAGGTGCGTCCTATACACTGGTCCCCATACGACCGCGTCGGCGAGGTGAACGCCGATCCTTAAGGACTTTGCCCGGCGTGTCTCTCCGCCCACCCCTCGCTTTCAAACCCCGCCCTCGACGCCTTTGAACTTCAACTGACGCCTTTCAACTCCACCCCGACATCGCTTCGTATGGAACGACCCTGAGGGTGCTGTCGTACGCGCGTAACAAACTGACGGGTGCGATTCCCGACGCGTTGTTCCCGAGAGACAGCGGCCTCCGGCGCGTCGACTTGAGCGGGAACGCGCTCAACGGCACCCTCCCGGACGGCCTCATGGGTCTCACGAAAGTGCGGGTCGTGAACGTGAGCGGGAACGCGCTGAGCGGGGCGATACCGAGCGAGGGGGACGTCGACGTTCGAGCGATGGCGTCGTTGACGGATTTCGACGCGAGCAACAACGCGCTCGTCGGCGCCGTCCCGCCGTCGCTCGCGGGGCTGAAACACCTCCGAACGCTCTCTTTGCGCGGGAACAAGCTCACCGGGACGATCCCTTGCGATCAGCTCGCGCACTCGCGCTCGCTCCGGGAGTTAGACCTGAGCGACAACGACCTCAGCGGCGAGCTCTCCGGCGACGTCGCCGCGCTCGGGGAGCGGCTGACGCGTCTGGACCTCTCTCGGAACCGGCTCTCGGGGCCCGTGCCCGTGGGATTGATCACGGGGAGGGCGCTGACGCACCTGGACATCTCGGGGAACGAAGATCTGGATTGGACGAGCTTAGGGGTGCGCGAGGGTGCGTGACGTGCGCGCGCGGAAGGAGGGCGGCGCGGAGATCGGGCGTTTGGTCCTCGTCGCCGACGGCGTCTGCGGGGAGGCATCTTGAAATAACTGTTTTTTCCGGTCCGAGATAGTTACACGTGGAGGCGGCTCGGTGAGTTCGGTGAAAAAAATTAGATTCTCGAAAAATCAGATTCTCGCGACCCCTCCTCTGAAAAATCGTATGGCGACCAGTCTGCTTTTGACAGCGCTGCTCGCGAGACCTGCTATTAGGTTTTTCGTCCCCGTCAGGTCAAGACAAACACGTCGCGCGTCGCGTGACCGCGTCACACCCGGTCGCGCAGCGCGCACGGCGGCGGAATCTGTGCGACGAACGCGCGCACGTCGGCCGTTTCGAGTCTTCGAGACGTGAACCGAAGACGACGCCCCGCGGGCGGTGTGCCGCGTTGACGTCGAAGCGCTTTGTCGGAGAGAAAATCATCTTCTTCACGCGCTTTAACAACCGGGCGGATCTGCGGCGCGCGCGGACGTGAGAACGCGCGCGCTTCTCCGCGACGGTCGTGATGACGTACGATGACGCGCTGGTGCGCGGATGCCCGCCTCCTCGTGCCAAATCCCGCGCGAAGCGCGCGCGGCGGCGCGATCTCGCTCGCCGCGCCGCACCTCGCATAAATTGCGGCGGACACGACCGATCCCCGTCCCCCCTCGCCCGCCTTGTCGCTGACGCCGCCCCCTCCTCGCGCCCCTCTCTCGACTCAGGACACGATGTTCATCATCTACGGCGCCTCCCTCGTGTTTTTCATGCAAGCGGGGTTCTCCTTGCTCGAGGTCGGAAGCGGTGCGTCCTCGAACCCGCGTTCTCCGCGCCTCGCGCCGCGCGCGACGGCCGCACCCGCGACTTCGCCGCAACTTCCCCGAAAGAATTTCGCTCGTCGTCTCGCTTTTGGTTTCCCCCCCGCCCGGCCGCGCGCCCCCTCACCCACTCC